ATTTTGGCTGGCCTACAAGGTCCTGCTACAAAGGAATGCATGTGCACCAACAAAGGAATTCAATATGTAATATGAGCTAGTAAAGGAATTCAATATGAAACAAAGGAACTCAATATCCAATATGCATCCAGTATTCAAATTGAGCTATAGTCAGAGTAAAGAATCCAAGAGATATCCTGTGATAGGTTGAAATAGGTGTAACTTCTGAACTAATAGAGATAAGGGGGTAGTTGTAGTGGGTGACTAGGGGTTATTTTACCTCAGGAATCCATTTTTGATGTTTCTTTTACCTTATATCTGATGTAGAAAAAGATGAGAATAATTTTTTATATTTTTGGCGTAGAAACACAGGAATAACTACCACACCGTCTCCGTTTTTGCCGCTGGACCTCTCGTTTTTTTTTAATCATCACTGGGACTCTCAATTGACTCAAACTTCAACTCTGAATAACTCAGCCAATCCTCAACCAAATTCTTCAAGAAACCCATCAATCATCTTCTTTCTTGATCCTCTTGACCGCCACCGTCTCCATTTTTGCCGCTGGACCTCTCGTTTGTTTTAAATCATCTCTGGAACGCTAGTAGGACTCAAACCCCAACTCTGAATAACTCAGCCAATTCTTGACCAATTTCTTCAATAAAACCATCAATCAACTTGTTTCTTGATCCTCTTGACCGCCACCGTCTCCGTTTTTGCCGCTGGACCTCTCGTTTTTTTTAATCATTGCTGGAACTCTAGTAGGTTTGAAACTTCAACTCTAAATACCTCAGCCGTTTCTGAACCATTTTATTCATTAAAAACACTAATAATCTTCTTTCTTGATTCTCTTCACCCCCAAATTCTCCGTTTTTGCCGCTGGACCTCTCGTTTTGTTTAAATCACCGCTGGAACGCTAGTAGGTTTGAAACTTCAACTCTAAATACCTCAGCCGTTTCTCAACCATTTTATTCATTCAAAACACTAATAATCTTCTTTCTTGTTCCTCTTCACCCCCACATTCTCCGTTTTTGCCGCTGGACCTCTCGTTTCGTTTAAATCACCGATGGAACCCTAGTAGGACTCGAACCCCAACTCTGAATAACTCATCCGTTTCTTGACCAAATTCTTCAAGAAAACCTTCAAAAATATTCTTTCTTGAACTTCTTGACAGCCACAATCTCTGTTTTTGCCGACACACCTCTCCTTTTTGGTTATTCATTGCTCAATTGCTAGTAGGACTCAAACTACCTCTGCGATTATCTCAGCCAGATCTCAACCAATTTCTTCTTGAAATACATCAAAAAAACTCTTTCTTGATTCTTTTTATGCCTACAGTCTTGGTTTTTCTTGTTGAACCCCTCGTCTTTTTCAATTCATCACTCAACTTCGCCAAACTCCTGCATAACATGTCTGAGAGTCAAAGCCACATCAACCCGCTCCTTCTTTCGGGTGCAACAGCTGAGGATACTTCTGACGTTAACCCCCTCCCCGGTACTACTCAAGACGAAGTCAGCCCACTTCCTGAAACTGTGTCCTTGTTTATTCCCACACTCTTTTGCAAATGTAAATTTGGCCTCATTAGAGTATTATAGCATTCTGTGTCCTTTTTCCATTGAGAAATTCAAGTTCGGAAGGTTGAATAACCACTGGGAACTTTCCACAGTGCTTGCATCAATAAAATGAGTGGGAGCCAAAATTCAAAGGCAAAGAACTCATTTTTAAGCAAAATAAATTTTACCATTCCATTCTACACCTTTCAAAGTGTAGGAAACAGCTTTACAAAGTCAAAAAAGATTTAAAAACAAGCTGGTAACAATTAATAGGAAAAATGAGTGGTTAAAAAAATTACAAGGCATAAAATTCATTTTTATGCAATATAATTATTACCATTGAATTCTACACCTTTCAAAGTGTAGGAATCAAATTTACAATGTCAAAAAATAATGAAAAACAAGCCAGTAACAGCTAATTGTACATATGAGTTAGCAGAAAAAAAAAATCAAAGTCGTTTTTATGGTAAATGGACTTTACCATTAAATTCTACACCCTTCAAAGTGTAGGAAAAAATTTTAAAAAATCAAAAAAACTCAAAAATAATGGTAGAAATAAATTAATTAATAAACGCGCGTTTAAACGCGGAATGCGCGTGTGCTGCGGCGCGGCAAAAGCACGTCAAAACGCGGAAAATGCGGGTTTTTTTATTAAGGCCCAAAAAAAAACCTGTCCAACGCAGTATTCATTACCAATCTTTTGTTTTTATGCAAAACGATTGTGACCATCATTTTAAACATGTCTTAAAGTGTGGGAAATAAATTTGAAATGTCAAAAAATAATGAAAATTAAGCTGTAAAAAATGAAGTGAAAAAACTGTGTAATTTGAGTATTAAAAGTGAACCGTTGAGTTTTCAAGAAATTGAATTGCACCATTAAATTCTACGCACATTAAAACCTAGGAAATAAATTTAAACTTACAAAATATCATAAAAAATAAGGTACATACATGTATGCAAACAATTAATTGAGAAATGAGTGAAAAAAATAATTAATAATCAAAATTCAATCTTTATGGAAAATGGTTTTTACCATTAAATTCTACACCTTTTAAAGTGTAGGAAACAATTTTAAAAATTCAAAAAAACTTGAAAAATAACCCATAAAAAATTAAATACAAACCCGTGTTTAAACGCGGAAACCGCGTGTGCTGTGCCGCAGCAAAACCGTGTGTAAACGCGGAAAACCCGTGTTTTTTTGTTAATGCCCTTTTTTTTCTTTCAAAAAAAAAAAACAGGCCAGGAGGGATTCCCTCCTGGTCGGCGGTACAACCTCGCCGGCCCAGGAGGGAATCCTCCTGGTCAACAAGGTTGTACAGCAGTTCCCACAAAGCTTGCGTTCGCGAGCTCCTGGGATCTGATTATTTTTTTTATTTTCTTTCCACTTTTTTTGCGCCTCGTCTGTCGGTTGCCTGGTGGGGGCCGGGGTCAACATGATGTTACGATCGCTTCAGAGTCAAAAATTGGAAAGGCATCCAATGGTCTAACTCCCACATCTTCAACTTGAAACATGGGGGAGTTGGGCCATGATGTCTGGAATATTATGGCTGTATGAGGCCACGTACAGGACATGGAAAGCAAAGAAAAAATGTGGCACAAAAAAAAAAAATGGAATCCCAGGAGCTCGCGACAGCAAGCTTTCTGGGAACTGCTGTACAACTATTGTTCAACCTTGTTGACCAGGAGGATTCCATCCTGGTTGACAGTACAACCTCGCCGGCCTAGGAGGGAATCCTCCTGGTCGGCGAGTTTGTACAGCCTTGCCGACCAGTCCCTCCTGGCTGGCGACAACCTTGCCGGCCAGGAGGATTCCCTCCTGGGCCAGCGAGGTTGTACCGTCAACCAGGAGGGAATCCTCCTGGTCGACGAGGTTGTACAGCCTTGTCGACCAGGAGGGAGTCCTCCCCGTTGACCAGTAGGATTCCCTCCTGGGCCGGCAAGGTTGTACCGCCAACCAGGAGGATTCCCTCCTAGGCCGGCGAGGTTGTACCGTCGACCAGGAGGGAATCCTCCTGGCTGGCAAGGTAAAGAAAAAAAAAATGCTCTTATTTTTTTTTTTGAAAAAAAACAATGAGCCTTGTCGACCAGGAGGATGCCCTCCTGGCCGGTGAGGCTGTACAACTGAGCCATGTAAGGTCTCAAGGCTGGGAGGAACCCCTCCCGGCTGTGAGACTGTACAGTCTTTGGGATGGGAGGAACCCCTCCCAGCCCAAGACTTTTTTCTTCGTTTTTTTTTGCAATCCTCCCTCCCATAGGACCCATGCCTGGGTCCTATGGGAAGGAGATTGGCGTGCAGGCCTGCACGCCAACTGCAGGCCAATCTCCCCTGCAGCAGATTGGTGTGTGCAAGGGGGGTTGGCTTGCGCTTATCAACCCCCGCCGGTTTCCTTTTGCACGCCCTTCAATTCAAATTGCAGGTCTCCTTTTACGTGTCCTTCAATCCCAATCGCCTTCTTTATAATTGCTTGCCCTGCTTCCTTAGGTACGTGCGGGATGAGGTGTGTGTCATTGTGAATCCATTACTGATGAACCAATTTCTTTTTTCATCTTTACTCAGCATTCGTGTTTAGGTCCATAAAATATTTACGATGAGCAGCTTTTCCAACCTTGACACACACAGCTTGATAACACCTACATCTAATGAGGCATTCAAAAGACTTCTTGAGGATTCCTCCCTTCTCATCCCGTTTCTCAACAACATCATAAAACCAAAAGTTGTCATTGATCAAATTGAAGCGTATGTCCAAGTCGTGCGTTCTGCTGCAGGTACACCACTGGGCCACCCAAACGGTTACTCAACCAAGGACTCGAGGTTTGACCAACCATGCAATTTGGCTTGGTGACCAACATCGAGGCTTGAGGTTAAGGTTGTCATGCAAAAGCTGCATGGTTGATCCAACCATTGACCGACAAGCACCCACTAGATTCCCAACCATCCTCCGACTCAAGACTTGGGCCAGTGTGGTCCCTCGGTGTAAGCCACTGTTGGCCCAATGTTGGTGGCACTTCGGCACACTCTAAAAAGAATCACCCTCAGGCTTGAACCCAGGTCAATAGCCACATGTAATTTGCATTGCTCGCTTGAGCAACAAGGTGAAGCCATTCGGCAACATCACTTTTTGTATGTTGCCAACCAAGTGAATGCAGTTTGCAACTTTGATCCGGGACAAGGATGTTTTTTTGTCCAAGTCTTTCAATTTTTTTTTGTCTTGATAGATCAAGTTTTCTGGAAGAATCAGAATGATTCAACCATGATGAGGATACTTTTTCATTGCAAAAAAAACACTCCCCTACGTTGGCCCAACCAGATGGCAACATTGATAGAGAGTTTCAGTTCCTGCCTGACTGGAGCCGGTTTGTCCAACTTGTTTTAACCTTGTTGGTTCAACGTTGGGCTAATGGAGTGACTGGCGGTCGGTTCAACATCCGCCAACCATTGACCTCTGACCCAAACGTTTGCCCAACCGAGGATGTCGGTTGTGACACCCAGGGTTCAACCCAAGGATGGTTGGGCAAACGGTAACGGATGGGCTCTGTTGGCTGGGCCCTTGTCCAATCGTTCCCGCAACCCCATCGTTGGGTCTGAGTCGCCCAAACGGTCAGCCACCTCTACGTTGGCTCTACCAACACCAATCACAAGAATTTACCCGGTGGTGTAGTCCCACCCCTTCTCAAGAAACTGGACTAGACAGAACCTCTGAGCAACGGTTTTGCACTTCCACAATATCCAATGTGAGGTATGACGAATCGCATTGGACCAAATGCTACAACATCGTTGCGGTAACTGACAATAACACCATTATTGTTGTAGAAATCCAGCGGGCTTCCCAGCCCTATCACCTTGACCGAGTTGTGCACTGCAGTGCTCAGCTGATTTCTGATTATCTCAGGTGGAAAGGTTGTAAGCCCCCACATGACATTTTCAGGGAGCTCACTCCAGGAACCTTGCCTCAAAATCAGGGCAGCAAAAAGTGGGATTACAAGTCCAACCAAGTCTATGTTATCTCAATATGTGACTTTCTGTGGACCCAACAGCTGAAAATACCGGAGTTGCTCAACAACAAGTGGCTTCTGAGGCAGACACCACATTTGGAATTGGATTTGGCACTACCACAAGACCCACAAGACAAATCCAACGACTCATCTGTATGCGCAGAGAAGCCAGTTGCACAATTTTGCTTCATATCACTCCCCAACTTTTGTATCTTGACGGGCGATTACGTCACATTGCCTTTGGAAAAACTACTTTGGATTTTTGCCAACTCCGGATCTAAACAAGGGAAGCAATCCCTGCCAGGATGGGCCGAGAAAGACCCAACTGCCCGCTCGTTTGTCGAGAAGCTTTGTTACAATTGTCTCAGCCCCGCCGAGAAACTTGCCTATGATAGGGCGGTAGACATGGAAAAACAGCTGGAGGGTGACAAAGCCATTGAGCAGGAGCGTGTAGCTGAGCAGTCCGAGCTTTTAGCTGCGGAACAAGACATTGCAAAACAAGAACGAGACCTTGCACTCAAACAGATACGACACCTGAAGGCAGTGTTGAAAAGCTTGGGTGCTGACCATCCACAGCAGCCTGATGAGTGAACTGAATAATAATGTTAGAGGTATTTTGTTTCTTTGCTACTTTCCAATTCATGAATTCAACATTGCTGAAGAGATCCACTCCCTTCTGGTTACCCCCTACAGAATCTACATGGAGCTCAATTTTGATTTCATTCAATCATTCATCTTGGACCAATCTTGCTTAACAAATGTGTTGGCGCTTAGAGGTTGTCATTCTTGAAAATCTACTTTCCTGATCATGATCATGGAAGGCTCAAGCCGTATTTCAGAATTTCTACTTCACACTTCACTCAAAATGTCCATTATTTCTTATCTCCTTCCCTGTCCGCTCCACACCCCAAAACCTTACAATCTCTTGCTCTTATGTTTGTATGGTGTTGCATAAGGATGGCCGCAGGTACCCGTTGGCGGGTACCCGGCACCCGTTGGCGGGTACCCGCCAATGGGTGCCGGGTACGGGTGCGGGTTGCCAGTTTTCTGGGGAAAAAATTAGGCGGGTACCCACCCAGTTACCCACATATCTGGCTGGGCCTCCAGTGATGGATTACCTGAAAACCAACAGCAGCTGTTTGTACCAGAACACACTGTATCTCCTCACAGCCCCATCACCACTTCCCCCTTCTATCCACCATGCCTCGGGGCAAGCATCATCGCGTGAATTCATCACCTTTGCCTTCGGTGTCCAGTACTCCTGCCCAATCTCAAGAGCCTAGCCGTCGCAAAAAAATATCCTCTCGAACCACTGGCAATCGGGCCAACGACTTGGAAAATGATCAAACTACCGATGCTGATGCCACCACTCCAGGAGGCACTCAAAACACGAAGACAGAACTTACAGATGAACAAGAGCTTGGTAAGCTCCTCCAAACTTCCTCTCTATGATCATTCATTTCTTTCTAAACAATATATCCTAACAACATACAATTCCTGTCCACTCTCAGATAAGGCAAGAATTAAACATGTGAATCAGCTCAGTTTGAATTACTCCTATTTTGACCCCCCCCCCGAACTATCTGAGCACCTAGATAAACACAAAAGAAAGATGATTGCCTTTCCGTGTAAGATGTATGTATTGTTTCTGAACCATTGTTTATTAATTTACATAAACATATTGAAATGATTTTTTGTGACCTTTGAATTTTCAGGTGCCACACCAGGATTCACCGGCCAACATATGATAACTCTACAACAAACCTCTCAAAACATGTGATTGTCTTCAAAAAAAAAACAACAAGAACAGGATGCCCATACTCAAAAACTTGTAGCGGTGGGAATCACAGGAACCAGTGATATTGATCCACGTGAGGTGAGTAGCAAGTTCCTTTCCCTTTGCATCTAGATTAGTGATGCACTGAACTTTCCAATCCAACAGGTTCCCCAGCTCTGTGCAATTTGGTGTGCCGAGGGAGCTCGGCCTTTTTCCGCTCTTGGGGAAGAAGCCCATTGAGGAATATTACACCCAATCGTCTTGAAGAATTTACCAACACGAAAGGCCGTCTCCCAAGACATTGGTAAGCTATATAACGCTGTGCAGGATTTGTTCATAGAACAGCTCAAGGTAAGTTTATTTTCTTGCTCACATTTTTCATCCATCTTTTGTAACTGACTGTGGATTTTGTTGGTGACCAGAATCATAAAGGCGCCATGTATTTAGGGCTTGATTCTTGGCAGTCGCCAAATGGATTTGATGTTCTTGGAGCAGTTATCTACCGCTTGGTTCAAGAAGAGAACGGCAGATATAAATTGGACGCTATGCCGCTTGACTTCGTAAGGTTAAAAGAACGACACACAGGTGTGTATCTGGCGGAAACTGTCCGCTTGATAGTGGAAAAATTTGGTGTTCAGGACAAGTAAGCTCCCACTGATCGCACATTGCAATTATGATTACTGATGGTTTCTTTTTCCACTCCAAGATATGTGGCATAGTCACCAACAATGCATCAAACAACGAGACAATGATTAATGAGATCCAAAAATTCAAGTGGCCTCGATTCAAAGGCGAGGGGCAGTGGGTGAGGTGCTTTGCACATATCTTGAATCTAATTGTTCAAGTCATCTTGCGGCCATTTGGAAGCCACAAGAAGAATACTGATTCCACCTCCATCAATCCAGATAGCGACTTAGATGATCAGGGTGATCCTGATGACGCAGAGGATCAGATCCAAATGTATGTATGTTCCAATCCTTCTCCGGGATTTTGGCTTGATTGTCTCTTTTTAGTATGAACCAGGACGGCGATATCAATCAAGAGGATCAGGATGAACCAGGTAGCTCAACTGAGCTGGCTGCAGACCTGATTTGTGAGGATGAGATTGAACTTGAAAACGACGATGTGAATGAGTTGAGTGACAAAGACGAAAACGATCGATACACTTCCGAGTCTTGCAAGACAACGTTGGCCAAGGTAAATACCTTTCCCCTTCCTTTTTATAGATGTTTTTCAGACTAACGTTCTTCAATATCCACCAGTTCCGTGCGATAGCCCAGAAGCTAACCAAGTCACCAAACTCAAAGTCGCTGTTTGTGGAGATCTGCAGGGAGAAAGGTTGCTCAAGGCCACACAACATTGAGCAAGACGTGAGGACTAGGTGGAATTCGACATTGGCGCAACTTACCAGCATACGCCGGTGTTCAGCAGCCATGTAAGCAGATTTATCACTCCCACAAGACCTCAAACTGCGCTCACATTGTCCTTCCAGTCTTGAATGGCAGAAAGACAAGCGCCATGGAAACTTGCGACCACATCACATCACTCAGGATGAGCTTGACTTAGCCGGCGACCTTGTTGACATCCTCCAGATCTTCCAAGAGATCACCCTTCAAGTCTCCACTCCTGGTGCAGCTCGAATATCACAGATTGTCATCTTTATCAACCAGATCACCAGCCATTTATCAACAGTAATCAGTAACGAGCAGAAATCATACCCAACAGCCTTGAGGAACGCCTGCCGCGCAGGCCTGCAGCTAACAAATAAGTACTACACACTTACGGACTGCTCACCGTTTTACCGTGTTGCCATGGGTGTGTATTTGAAGCTTTAATTCTGTATTGATTGTTTGTCAAAATATCTGATACTAACAGGGCTATTTGGAAGTTCTCCATCCATTGTTCAAGGATGAATATTTCAAGCTTGCAAAATGGAATCCAGAATGGATCACCGAAGCAATCCGACTCACACGTGAGATGTGGGAATCATTCTATAAACCTCAATCTCAGCCGATCACAACCAAACAGACCAATCTCCAAGCCAAGGTAAGTTTACTCCGCCATCTTTGCCAATCTGATGAATCTGACCAAACAACAGCCTCTGACAGGTATTCTTGCGGGGCTGAGTGGAGCATCACAAGCAAGATCTGTAAATACCTCCACCGATGCACTTACAATGTGGCTTGCAGGAGGATTGACTTTGGATGATGAGAGAAACCCAGTTGATCCACTCAACTGGTGGATTCAACAAGGCCGTGCGGGGAACAATCACGGGGGCCTTCTACAGATGGCACTGGATGTGCTCAGCTGCCCAGGTGTGTATATGAATCCTCATAAGGGGTATTTTTTTGAATACTAACCACCTGGTATCCAAAACAGTGACGACCGTTGATGTGGAGCAATCATTTAACTTTGGAAGGGATTACGTTTCCGTTAGACGTCACCGGCTCAGCGCTTTATCCCTCACTAGAGGGATGACAGTTGCATTTTACTCTAAAAACGGCAAGATACCTAGTGGTGTGCTTCGCAAATGGAAACTAGATCAGTATAACAGTAAGAAAAAAAGTAACAAGGAGGTAGGTGAATCAGACGATATCATAGTATGTTAGCTAGTTAGTTAGTAGGTTATAGTTGCAAGAAATAAATCAGATACTGTTGAAATCTTCAACAGATACCCGCGGGTACCCACCTCCCATACCCGCTCCACACCCGGGTACCTGCCAACAAGACCGGGTGCAGGTGCAGGTATAGAATATGAGTAAAAATATACGCGGGTACCCGCACCCGCACCCGGTACCCGGGTGCGAATTGCCATCTTTAGTCACTGTTGCAAGCGCGTCTGGGCACAAACCCAAGTCCCGCTTGGCCGATAGCCACAGGAGGGTTTGATTTGTGCCCAGAGGGCTTGATCATGCGGGTTGTGCGGGGAGTGGGACTTGGCACTCAGCCAAGTCCCGCTGAGCCAATTTCAAGCCCTGGGACGATTGGTGGCTCAGGCGCTCCCCTCCCTCTCAAAGACCCGTACAAACCTAGTTGCCAAGGACGGGAGATACCCGTCTTGACGCTTGGTATGGGGACAGAATCAACAGATGATGATACAGCGACGGTCATCGGTCATAGAGGAGAGTGATTGACTAGTAGTGAACCGGTCATCAAGAGGGGATTCCTTCTTGATGGCCGGCATTTTGGCGGGTGTGGCACCCTCGCTTGATTTTGGCCGGGCAAGGCTTTGCTCCAACCCCCGCCAGCTTTGACATGTGCCAAGCGGGGGTTGGGAGGGTGCCACGTGGGCTTTACAGTCGGCCAAGCGTGCTTTAAGATTGGCCCAGCACGCTTGGCCTGTTTTCGGCCAAAGTTTGGTGTGTGCCCAGACGGGCTTGCAACACCATAATATTCCTCAGATGTATTGCTCAGATCTACCCTGATTTTGTTGTTGTGAACACTGGGACAGCAACACAAATTTTTGGGGGGGATTTAGCACACTGCTTTTCTAGTGATGAACAAGAGAAAGACACAAACTAGGAAGAAAAAGCATTAAAGATGAGTGTCAGAATTTACAGAACCAAGATAAAATAATTAGTACTCCTGCTGTAGCCTTAGGCAACAAAGACATGGGGCATAATTATGGCCAAGCTAGCCAGGACAAAACTACCACCTAGCCCATGGATAAGACCTGGCTGTGATGCACTGTCTGGACATGACTTACAGTCATGTGTCCAGATCAGTTTACTCTAGAATCAGAAGCTCTCTTTATAAAGAGCTGAGTGTTTCACAATAGCAAGTTGTGAGTCATCTGTCCTTCTTCCTTGACCATTCACAGATCAAAAGCAATCTCCTACAAAACATCTTGTCAAACCTTCTTCTTAGTCTTACCCCACTTCATTCCTGTCTGACAGTGAGACAGAGTTTCTCAAAGTCAAAGGGTAGTTTGTATTGTGCAGCCTGAATGCTTGGAGTTGAGAGAAAATAATATTTGGTTGAGTTAGTACCCACTGCATATTACGGTCATTCAAGCCCTTTGTGTTAATTAGGTTGTCAGGTCTGCAGGCAAGAAGGGAGCAGGGAGATGGATGATCAAGAGGAAGCCCCTCCGCTGTCGCGCGGCCCCCCGTGCGACCTCTCCGCGCCGAAGAAGCCATCCAACCGAGCCCAGTGCCAGGACGAGCAACCACTTCACTCACCACTGGCCAGAAACTCAAGTTTCCTTCCAACTAACCAAAACTAACATCAGCCGTCAAATCCGAATCGAATCCTGAAGATGTCTTACAACAATATCGGCCTAACGACTCCTAGAGGATCAGGTCCGCCGATCTCATCACTTATACATATACATATCTTCATCTTCCATTCTTATCGGATGTCAGAAATTTAGCTGACCCGCCACCGGTCTGCATAAAATTACATATAATCATACAAAAAACGATGAACGAATACAGGGACGTCTGGATATGTGCAAAGGAATCTGTCCCAAGCCCGACCGACGGAGGATTACCGGTCGAAGCCGAACGGACGATACGATGACCATCTGGGAGGACAACGCAAGCCAGACCAGGGGATCCTCGAGCACGAGCGGAAAAGAAGGGTGGAAAATAAATGCGTCGAGTTGCAGCTCGAGCTTGAGGAACAGGGCCTCGATGAGGAGATCGTCGAGGCGCGAGTGGACGAGCTCCGACAGAAGTTGCTCAAGGAAGACGTTGCTCGAGGGCCTGGTCAATTCAAACCACATGAATGTCGGTTCCTCTTTCGTGTTTTTTTTTTCTTCTCTGTAATTTTTTGACCTTTACTTGTACTTATATTTATCTGATTCTCTCCCTAGCTCACGAGATTGCAGCGATGAAACTAAAAGAAAACGAGAAGTTCAGGAATGCACTGGGGGTCAAGGGTTCTTACGTTGAGGGACAAGCCTTCGACCGGGAACTGCAGGCGCAACGGAAAGCTCAAGCAATGCAGGAACGACAGTTACGTGAAGACGAACATGCCGCACGTGGGGTCCAATCAAGAGGCCCTCGGGGGCGGGAAAAACCTTACGATAAACCGCTTTGATAGTTCTTCATCCCCCCAGACCTATCCGTTCAAACAACGCCGCCAATCGACTCAGTTATGTTCAGTCATCTCAATCCCACCCTTGTATCAACACTTGTCCCTGTGTAATTTTTTACCAAAACAAAGACGGAGTGTCTTGAACTCTTGAGATCCACCAGCACATCAGTATAATCATACATATATATATATCATCTCCACTTTTTTTTTTTTTGGAAAGTCCTCAGTTTATGATGTCCATTAACAAACCTACCAACCTAGGATATGTATAAACATTGGCTTGTGAGGGTTCCTTGGATGAGAAAGAAGAACACAAATATAACCAAATAAAAAAAATGCATAATCCAGAAAAAGCAAGAAGAGCCAACTTGTCCCCTGCAACTTTCCACGTTAGAAGGTCTAGACCATGCACTGTTGGGAGACATTCCCTTGACATTGCAATCAATCATAATGGAAGATGATCAAAGATGTAGGACTAAGCTGAAATGGTCCAAAAGAAAAAAGCAAGACTTGATGGTATACATACTGTACAAAAAAGAGGGGAAAAAATGTGTGAAAAAAAACAACCTGTTTACATGGCCAAATCCCACTAAGGAAATCCAGAGAAAATTGATGGAGTCAAGGGAAGCTATTTCCAGCCCTATGCACTAGCACTACACACCATACTTACTTTGTTGTCCCAAGAACAAAAAAAAGCGGTTTGGATTGTGGGGTGAGAAAACACACTTTTTTTACAGGATGCCTCATTTTAGCAAAGTAGATCATCCATTTGTATTCTTTCCCTTTTTTTTAATTTGGCTAAATCTAGTCTAATTTTTTTGGGGAGACGTTTTGTAAGGGGGAAAAAAATGGAAAGGAAAGAAAGTGTCATCCCCCTGCCCCACTGGCCAAGTAAGTGCCAATTATCCATGGAGCAAAAGAGGGCCTGTTTGTAGTGGGCCTTATGTATCCTCAACATGTCCGTATGTACTTCCACATGCACAGTACTGATGGGACTGTGACTGTCTGATGACCACAAAAAGATTGTGGGACCAGGACTGATGCTGGAGGATTGTCATATAGTATTCAGGAGTGGTAGCACTGCAGATGATGTACTTGCATTATCTTACCTCCCTTGCCTTTATTGCTCTCCATGCATGCTTTGATACTGTCATATTTGTATCAAGAAGATCAGTTCATAATATCATTGTTTTCTTCCACACTTTTTGATTACTGAACACCTTCACACTTGAAGTAGTTTGTCAAATTTGGAGAGGTGTGGCCAGTCTATGTTGGATGTCTATATGTGGGGTCCATTTCATTCATTTTTGCTTGCACTTTCTTCAAGAAATCTACTCAACACAAACAATACAATACAATACAACTTTCTAAAATCTAGGTGCAAAAAACACTCATCCAACTCAACCTCCACCAAAAGAACTCTAAAAATCTATGTGTTATTGACTTATTGATATAAAGATATATTGGTTTACATATACATATGTACAAAAAACAGGGCAAGTATTACAAGTCCTCCAACAGAGAGAGAGAAAAAAAAGCTCAACAAGAGCCAATGCAAACACAAACACAAGCACGAGAACAAATAGCCAGACTGTGAAATCGAAAAACAAAGAAGGAACGGTGAAGGACTACGTAGAACCACCTGAAACAACGGTGATTGGGTTTTTATTGTATTTATTGAGACGGATGGGTACAATGTGGATGGGTTTTGAGGATATCTAAGTGAGATTGAAACGGATCAAAGGGCAAGAACCATGGGTAAACAAAGCATCAGTGTGAACCACCAGCTCCTGCTACAGCTTCTCAAATTTTATTAGTTTTGTTTTTGTCGATGCGAGGGGAGGGGTGGGGTGGAAGGAGTGGGAGGTGTCACAGAAAGGGCAGGAAGGGGATCCCGGAGAGGAAGGAAGCCAAGAGATGAGAAGTGATAATGATCAGGAGAGCAGAAGCAGAAGAAGGGTTGAGGATCCGATTGGCGCTGCCCATTCTGGCATAGACGATATCAGATTCGAGGGCGTTACAGAAGACGTTACCGAAGCGATCCTGAGCGCGCTCGCCGCCGAAGCCGTTGAGAGATTGTTGTCCGCCGGCGAGGTCTAAGGGACCCAACGTCCGAGGGTCACGATACGAGAAGTTAGATGTGACGCCGGGGAGGGGACAGTTCCAGCCGATGAGGGGAGGACAAGTGGCGGCGACGAGGGTGCAAAGGGATCCACAGGGCGGCAGCTCGGCGTATGGATAGACACTCTTCTCCGTCAGAGTTGGGGTGCGTGAGTTATTGGGCTCGGTGCGGGTAAAGACCATCTGACTGTCCATCGATTGTTGGATTGTTGGGGTAGATGGAGCCGGAGGGGAAGGAGGATCCGTACAGCGTGGCATGGTCATCCCACATACCCAGTCCGTGTACGCTCGTAAACAGTCCCCACACCCCGTCACAAACGAGTATCGTCCACTCGTGTCATTGTTACATGGATATGTCGACACTACCGTCCGGAAATTCGCTAGATGCTCGCTCACCGTTCGGTTGTACATCTCCACTAAACTCGTCGTCGATTGGCTCGTCGATGCTGGGACCGCATAAGCTACCGATGGACAGAACGGTAGATCATGGACTAATCGACAATTTTTGGCTGTCCAAAAAAAAAAAGTATCAAACATTAGTTATGATGTGAATAAGTGACAAAAAAAGGTTATATGAGTTTGTGATGAAATGGAGAAAAAAAAAAATACTGACAAGATTTAGTTCGAAAGTTGATATAAGGCCATAATCTACCGGTTTGTACGTTATCGACCAGGGGCCCAGGTTGGAAGAACCAAGCGGAGTAATTAAGGGCAGGGATAAGATTATTGATGAGGTACTGAGTGCGCAAGCCGGCGGCCTGGTCGGAGATACGATAATCATGATCCGTAGCGTTACCGGTAGGTTGAGAGGAGAAGGATCCGACGCCAGTGGTCCGGGAGGTGAGCGAAGGGGTGATCGAGATCCGTTCGAGTTGAGTCTTGGATTCCGAAGATTGATTGGCGATAATAGATTGGAGGTAGCAGAGGGAGCCGGCGAGTCCTAGTTGGAGGTTGTCGGGTGTGGGCAAGATGATAGGCACGAACTCTTGCGTGGAGGGTGGGTTCTTGGCAGTCACGGGTAGGAAGACGCTCGAGTCGGCGGCCGTGAGCAGGGCGTTGGAGCCATCGGTATCATCAAGCTTCAAGGCCGGGAAATTGTTGGAGGCGTGCAATGGGGTCTGGTTGGATACGCCGAGTTGAAAGGACCAGCTCTGGGCTGGGTTCGGGGGCTGGATGCTGATCCAGAGGCCGACCGAGTTGACGAGGCTGACACTGGCGATGCCGGCCCGAAGGTCGGAGTAGTCCCCTGCTGATGACTGGTGAGAGAGGATGGAGGTCTTTGAGCGTGCTGGAAGTTTGTCTGGTGAGGGTGTCTTGTTGTCCGAGGAGTTGGAGACGATGAGGATGTTGTTGAACTGGTAGTCGATGGGTTGACTGCTTGGTGCTGAACACAGGTTGAGGCTGATGTGGTTCAACGAGGGTGTATCCTGAGGAGGCACGTAGAAGAGGAGCGGATCGGAGAGGCTGAAGTTGGTGACTGAGGGAGAGCGAAGTTGAGCTGGAGTGGATTGAGGCTGGACATGGTCGAAGGAGCAAATGATGCTGATGATGCTGATGAGAAACATGTCTGGAGTTCTAAATACAACAAAAAATCGAATTCTAATGTGAAGAGTTGTACAAGTTGCGGTTCTTGCGAAGGGCAAGATCAACCTGATATCCTTCGAGGTGTTTCTTCAAGTGCTTGGAGGTTGCCAGGCTCACGAGAGGGTGTCCACGTCACCAACCCAACAGAACCCAACTGGGAAAATGAAATATCAAGACTGTATGCATGCATCCTCCATCCCTCCCGCTTCGATAACACACACTCAATCTCTCCTGGGAGTGGTTGCAGTTAGGCAAACAGCTTCATTTCAGGCCTTCTACATCTATACAAATATCTATGGTGGGATGGGATAGTAATGTGCTGAGCTCAACAGATTAAAACAGCATACAACCAAGGGTTAAGAAGCTATTGCTTACCTACACTATTCATGCAAGTCATCTAATCAAGAGATCGAGTAGGGGAAGAGAAGTAAAATGAGATTGAGTGAAGGGCAAGGAAAGATAAACAAGCAACAAAAAAAAATGACAAGATCATATATACAAGGGGCTAACTGAACCCGTTTGGTTGAGCCAGTGAATCGAGAAGAGTTGGAGGAGGAGGATCAAAGAGTGATAAGAGAACCTTGAGGAACTGCTGCGGTTGTTCGGCCGGAAGGAGCTCGAACTGGAAAGAGCAGAAGATCCTATCGACCATCCCACCGACAGTGGGACCCTGTATGCCTTCGGCCACATCACCCACTCGGACCGGGACGCCCAAGGAGCTCCTGACAAAATCGTAGAGCGGACGGGATCCTCCAAGGTAATCGACAGTCTGATGATCCAAGCCTTGGGCACGCAAGTCGGCCAAGGAACCGATGATCAGTTCGGCCGACGAGCCCAAATAACCCTCCACCGAGCCAACCGGGATTTGTTTCTTCTCGAGCTCGAACACCTCAACGATCACCGATACCGAAGCCTCCAAGCATTCCCGTACCCGATCTTCCATGTCCAGGCTTGCCGTCACCTGTCGACGGGACCAAAACCGATCGATTATCTTAAACACTAACCCCTCCCTTGACCTCGTCGAGAGCTGCGAACCAAAACTTTGCGCCACCGTCTCTGAAAACAGCCCAACCAGCAGATTCTTAAACCTGAGTTCAAACACTCTCAGATCAAGCGCTTGGCATAGACAATAGAGATGGCTAGCCATAAGCTATCCAAGTCAGAAGAATTGCCAGTCGGTCAACAAGTCAAACTTCTCCCTCCAGCATCCCCCCCCCAAAAAAAAATGAAGTCTTACCATCTTAAGGATCTCGATAGCCTCGAGTGTTTTCCTGGCACTGATAAAGGCTAATGAATTAATGGATTGGTTGTGACCTTCAGCACTCTGAACATGAGTCGTCACAGGACTGGCGAGGTATTGGAGCTCGGAACAGTAGGCAGCACAGGATGTGTCGAGTCCCTTGGTATGATAATTGGTACTTGGCTCGTCTCCATTCAAACAGGAGGGCAGACCATTATTCATAAAGGAGCTTGATGTCGAATTAAAACATCATTCAAATCAGCTGTCCTGATGGTCAAGTAAGTGGTCAAGAGGCCAAGGTATGAATTGCACTAACTTGTTGAGCTCGGTTACTTGTGCAAACATGATCTTGCCGATCGCGGCGATCGCCAGACGTGCTTTTTCCATGGAAGTGGCCATCGAGGTGGCCTGGAAATTACCTCCATGATGTAATAGACAGTTCTCAACGTCTACCAGGGCTATGAGTGCATGGAAACCAGTGTCAACATCGAGTGATGCATATGTACTTAGAGATAGAATGCCGCATACGATTGTCAGTAGTAGAGTTAAGTTCCTTCGCAATTGTCTGATGTGCGACAAGCAAGTCCTCCAGTTGGGGTCCGATCCACTGTTGGTTTTCAAATGCGCCGTCTTTATCAATCAACTCTGGGGCGGCGAATCTCTAAAGGATGTTTGTACAGATATAGCCCACCTGAGGTGATGTTCGTAGGGGGTAACGATCTTGGCGCAAGATCTGTTTAGATTTCTCTCGCTCAATGTCTTGCTCGGGCAGTTGGTCACTAGGGTTAAGCAGTTTACTGGTCCGCAGCAAGCGATGGATATTCTTGGCTACTTCGATCTGTCCTAGATGTGGACGAGCAGTTTGGTGAATGAAACTATGCAGACAGAAGGCGAGGGAAAAGAAGAGGTACGGTTGAGAGTTTATCTATCCCAAACGGGGCAGGGCGGGTCACCAGACGACGAGTCAAGACTAACGGGTGAAAAGCTCCAATCTGGCCCAGCATGGCCTCGACGGTCATGGCAGTCAAGACTTGGGAAAGTAAGCCAAGGATGTGGGTTTGGAAGATGGCGATCGAGGCAGCGGCGGCACTGAACGCGGTTCCATTGGCGATCGCCAAGCCTTCTTTTGGACCAAGTACGAGGGGCGTGATGTCATGTGCCTTCAAACATTCTTCACTACTCAAGATTCTTGGCTCCTTGAGACTGTGTATGAGTGATTGCGAAGTGAAACCGGTCAGCCAATGCCCGGGTATTCCTATTTCTATCGTAAGGGAAAATATGTATGAGTCAGGTACTGCTGACCTGCGATCGATCACATAGACATCTGGATGGGCACATAGAGCACCGGCAACGTAAGCGAGCTAAACGGTTAAGGGTGTTGGGAAAGGAAAGCGGCCGAGTCAGCTCGGGCTATCAGCAAAACAAGCTCGGAAACTTTTCCGAACCGGAGAAAGATCACCCGAGGCGCTGATAGTTCCCCGGAGAGGGACGACAGGAGTGATCGAGAGGTTGAGTAAATTGAGTAAGCCATCCAACAATTCGATCCTGACCGCTGAATGACCCCTGTGATGACCAAGCTCAACATTCAACATCTGCTGTGATTATCATGGTAATATACACATCTTGATATAAAGTGAGCAGGACTTCACCCACCTGACGAGACTGTTGGCTCTGACGAGGATGGCAGCCCGGACGATCGATTCCGGGATCACGTGCTGGTTGAGTGGCTGTGATGGATGGATCGGTGGGCGGAGTTGGTGGGCGAGTTTGGGTAGATTGAGCCCAGTGGCACCGGCCAGGAGATGTTCGACGATCGAGACCTGGAGTGCTTCGACGCGATGGGTCCGGGTGGTTGCTGCTGCGCCGAAACCGGTGGTGACCCCGTAGGTGCTCTGCTTGGTCTGTTTTCAGTTCGTCAGCCGACTTTCTCATCTTCTAAATATTTATGTGATGATGATCACTAGCAAGGCTTACCCGATTGAGCATGAACTGGAGTGAGGCATTGATTCGATCGATCGTCGGTTGATGGTTAGTCAGCTTAAATTGGACCAAGTTCTTGGTCGGCTGTGTTGATAAGGGTTGGACCAGGCCGAGGGTTGACCAGATGAGCTGTTCGATCGAGAGTGACTGGCCATCGACGGTGATGGTGATCGGTTTATCAATGACATTGCTGATTAATTGGTGGGCAAGCGCAGACTGAAGAGAAGAAGTCAGAAGGAGGTGATGATCAATATGTAAGCAGCTCGTTTCCCAAAGAGAAGAAGGACGAAAGGGTTAGCATAAACTCAACATGAGAAGCAGCAGCAGCAGCAGCAGCAGCAGAAGAAGAAGAAGAAGAAGATCGTCGTCGCTGTTGAGTCATGACTCAGGTCTTATACAGTTTCAATTAGAACCCTTATGTAACCCGATGACTGTTTGTTGTAGGCTGACTAACTACTTAATTTGATTCTTCTTGGAAGAGAAGAAAGCTGATCGGGTCAGCCAGCCGTTGGGTCGAATGGCTTTTATATTCTGGCCATCCTGCTGCTCTTCTTACATCAGCCAATAATCCAAGCGGCAAGCACCCTGGATCGATCATCGAGGAGCAACCAAGACTGGCAATGCTTCGGTTGAGATTCAGGAGGTGACTCTTCTGATGTGTATGTCGCTCAATACATCCAAGGAAAACAACAAGCAGAAGAACTTCCAATCTGAAAATCTACAATCCCAAATCCCAACCAGCTCGACAACAAGATAAATACACACTTTTCACAGAGATAAATATGTACAATTTGTAGCAGAATATCCTCGAGCATCCAACCCTCTGATCCTCTGGAGTGGGTATGGTAAGGAAGAAGAATTCTTAGGAAATGGAATCTATCTATCAATCCATCCGTTCCTATTTATCCCTCCATCCCCCGATCCCGGGAGTGAAATCCGAATTAAAATTGTCAAGCGAGATCAATCGACGCGAGCTTGTCAAGTAACACCCGCGTCGGAATCGGATCCACTACCATCCAGCTTATTTAACAAGTATTAAATATGTAGGGTGTACATAAATTAGCCTAAGATAAACCTGATAAATTCCCGGTCTTGTGGTCTTCTTGGATCGGAGTGGAAGCCAATCATGAACGGCATATTGATAGTCAACCCACCATATCCAAAAAATTAAACCCATGCTTCCAATCAACCCAAGGGTCAAACATTGTTATCAAACAAAACGTCCAAGTTGTATGTATCTAGTTTTGCTTGTAGTTTGTGTGTGCTTCAGTTCCTTCTGATAACGTTAGATATGTATGATCTGATCAAGTCATCACACTTCGAGTTGACACAGAACGTCTTGTTTGTTTTTGTCGTTTGGAATCACGCAGGTCTAGGTATGCTTGCAGTTTTTCATGCCCAACAAGAGTACCGCCGGTACCCGCACGGCGGTGCCAGGTGCGGCACATGGTACCTATTTTCTTAAAAAATTGAACAGGTACCCAAGTACAAACAAAAAATCTCTAAATTGATTATATGATTTGAAGATTCCTGCAACAACTTCTGGCAAGGGTCAGGCTCTCCAGTTTGAAGCTTCCTCTCTCTTATAAGACTACTAGGTAGCAGTGTGGCTGGGGCCACATTTATGAGACTGACAAAAAATTAGTATCCAGAAAAGACAAAAAGGAAACTACCCAACCAAAATACCTTGTCAATTGCAACTACTTGTATGATTTTTGAGCAGTGCTTTATTTACAACATTGCAAGTTTTAGGCCCTGTGTCTTCTGACAATAAACCAACACAAAGACTACTTAAGGATGTAACATGTGTCACATGTTACATCCTTAAGTAGATGATGTGACAAGCCAACATATACTTTTCCATGGCAAACATAGCTGGCCTGACCTTATTTAAGGACTGCGCCTGGCACTTGTTTATTGTCAAACAAAAAGCACTGACAATGGAGTACTGAAATCTAGAGAAAGATGCACTGAATTCCATGTTGGGTTCATGAATTAACATCACCCTTGGTATCATATGAATGCAGTGGCACGCGGCATTGCACTGTACAAGGCTGCCCGCAAAACTTGTTCTGGTTGCGCGGGGTTAAACCCCAACCCCGATGGGGGTCCAGCACTTGTAATAAGTGTGTTTTTGGAGTCTACAGGGTGTGTAGATTTCAAATCTAAAGTTGCAAACAATTTGGTCCAGCCAAAAAAAAAAACTTTTTTTTCACTCAACCATTTGGACACAGGTTGTGTATGGGGGTATTAGTACATACTTATGGGTTAGGGAGGTATCCTAATCCCATACTCACATGGTCAACTGTCAGCCAAAACCCATAAACATGAGCTTAAAGTGTGTTTCACAGGTCAATTACAGCAGCTGTGACACCGGATTTACATCTCAACCCCCCAAAAACAGGTGAAAATCACAAAAAAATCCAAGTTTTGGGCCCCGACCTTTTGGACACCGCAAAACCTTGTACAGTACAATGCCGCGCGCCACTGTAGTTTTGGCATGCGGACCATTCAATATTTTTGCCTGGATGATATTTGGTTGTAGATTTCTGATCACAAGTTTTGCTCCATGTTCCAGGCCGTCCTTTAGACATAAATTTTGCAACAAAATAACTGGCATCCCTAGCTGCAGCGCAAGGTTATGTTTGAAGAAATTAGGAAGATCAATTGAATTGAGAATTTCTTATGGAATTGCCCTGTCTGTGGTATCTGTCATCTGGTCAAGTCACAGGGAGCAGATTGCTTTTCCAGGGATTAAATTCAAGCATTCTTTGTTGATCTTGTTCACGTACTTATTCAATGGCATAATATCTGCTCTCCCTTGATAATAATGTCCTTTTTCTGATTCACCCTGACCTATTTTTGCCATTCCCTCTCCTCCTTTAACCTACATATATTTGCAAAATTGTAACACTCAACCACATCTCTGCCATTGGCCAACTCATCTTTTGTTCCGTGGCATTGCCTAATCCTACCCTCCTTCCTGTTGGAATTCCAGTTCTCAACATAGCCCTTGAAAGCGGAGAGCAGCAGGTAAGCCTCACACTTAGATTGTGAAGCTACCCAGAGAATAAAAACCTTCTACTGATCATGTTTATTTGATCATGTAAAGAACATAAGATATGTAATAGCATAGCCAAGCGACAAGCTTGTGAAAGAGAGAATGACGTCAATGACGTCATGATTCTAAATGATGATGAATGTCAATCATCAAGCTCTAGGTGAGTCTCAATGATTAACAAGCAAGCAGACAGAGTAATCATTAACAATCACTCTATCCGCTTCAACAATCATTATTAGTTCAAACAACCAAAATATGTCGATTACACTTATCAATAGAATGTCCTCATCGTCTGTTGGTGAGTACTATAGCCTTTTTTTATTTTAAAGAAAGAGAATAACATAACTGACTAAGAAATGTTATAAAATAGCATCGTCAACCAAACAAACTAAATAACAATCAATAAAGAAATAACTCAGTCTCAAGAGCGAGTACAGTTATTTTCTTTATCAAATCATTTATCTTTCTAGAGAAAGATAGAGCAACAAGCTAATGAACATGTTTTCTTTTACTCTAGATTGTTAATTCATACTTTTCCAATCATAGCACTTTACTGTTGAATCATTATTATTATTATTATTATTATTATTATTATTATTATTATTATTTCTTTATCTTACCTAGTTCAGATTATATTCTGCCTTTAGGTAAAAAGTCTTTTCGTATTATTATAATTTATTGTATTTAATATCATAAGAAAAGATGAATTAATAAATAAATAAAACCTTTAGTTTCCAAAATCTTTCACTTCCTCTGCCCCTGAATACCCTTGTGAAGACTGCACCACAGATCCATGGATGGGTTGTCCTGCACACCACATTGCCCAATCTAATTGCTTATCCTTGCAATTAACTCAACATATGTATTCCAAACTCCCTCTTTATTCAATCCTGATACTCATTCTAGATCTCACAAACTTAGCATCTGTTTTTGACTTTGGGTTTTGTTCAGGTAAATTATGGAATGAAGTGCCTGAAATTTCAAATGTGTAGATGAATTTTTGTCCTTGCACCTCATTGTCTGCTGTAGCCCCTAAGGAGGCAAAGAAAAGCGCATTATTGTAGTTCCTTACTTGGCAGGAAATTGGATTGAGGCTGAATCAAAACATTAGGCCCCATTTGGCTGCACTGTAATTCATCATAAGCACGCCCCCAGTGATAAAAAATCAAAATTCAAGTGTAATTTATGCATATAATGCCTCACTCCTTATAAGAAATTGGGTGTTTGGCATGTTCCGGATGTGATTACACCTCACCTCCTCCAGCTCCTCCCTTCCCAGCTCAGTACAACTTCAGATGACAGCAGCATGAATCAATCCAATCAAGCCACCCAACAAGTGGCTTTAAGAAATAAGCAGCGGGAGATCCAAAAATACTGGTTTGTCCTCTTTATTGTTGCTCTTGCCAGCCTTTGTCGATGGGCCAGAGCAATCCACAGCGAGCCGTATAACAACACAATCTTTGGTGGAGACGCTTACGTGAAACAGATCCTCAGCAGCAATCAACATTGGGCGCAAGCAATGCTCCAAATGTCTATTGAGATGTTTTCAACATCTGCTCCAAAGAGCTGCATGCAATCAACTCTGAACTGGCCTCCAAACTCTTGTCTATGGACGAATAATTGGCAATCTTCCTCTACATAGTCGGTCAGAATGCTACCAATTGTCAAACTCAGGATTGCTTTCAACATAGTGGAGAAATGATCTTGCGGGTGTTTCATCATGTCATATACTTGCTTCTCCAGCTCTGATCCGAGTACATAGTTGCACCCGGTCCTAGATATACACACAAGGTGATCCTGGACAACGCCAAGTTCTCGCATTTTTTCAATCGCTGTCTGGGGGCCATGGATGGCTGCCATGTACCTTGCGGCCCCATACCAAACTGGAAAGGTAATCTTGCTCAAAATATCCTCAGGGTGGTTAATTTTGACATGAAGTTCACATACCTGATGGTTGGTTGGGAGGTCTACCCACGATTCCAAGGTCCTTGGGAGTGCTCTGTCGGAGGAATTCAGCATTCCTCGTTCTTTGTTCTACTTGACTGATGCTGGGTATTCCCTCTCTAGGGGTACCCCAGTACCATACCGAGGTGTTTGTATATCACTTGCGGGAGACGGCGCAAGCTGGGCAGAGGTCAATAAGCCAAGTTATTTTTGTTGTAAGGCTATTGCAAGACCACTCCACTCACTTACGGGATTTTTTGTTTTTGTATGCTTTCACAGACCTGAGACAAAGGAAGAGCTGTACAATCTACGGCATTTGATGCTGAAAAATGTATTTGAGCAAACTTTTGGCACATGGAAGAAGAAATTTCCTATACTCTTTCATCTGTTGGAGTATAGTCTCTTCACTCCAAGAGACCTTGTCTTAGCCTTGGCGGTACTTCACAACATCATTATTGAGCACAGCACATACTCTGAAGGATTTGTCATTGATCCAAATGAAGATGGTGCAGCAACTGGTGAAGATGACTTGCCATCAGACAAAGAAGAAGAGCCAAAACCCTACCAGGCTTGCGAGCGAGAAAGAAATAATGTGTGGAGAGACCAAATTGCTGCAGACATGTGGACTCAGTACCAAGAATATCTTCAATCTTGTACATAGATTTGCCTATTGTTGTTTCTCATCTTTCAAAAAGCTCAAGACTCTCAATGATCAAATCTTATTTTTTCATTTTGTTTTTGGGATATGGGAAACAATAACACAATATGGGGTTTAAGATGAGACCACCCAAGAATTTTGAAAAATACTAGACTAGACAAGACTTATGAGAGTTAATGCACTAAGCATTGTTTGAACTGTGCTGAAAATTGGTCTGTCAATGAAACCAAGCCCTGCTGTGATCTGGATCACAAATCACTAAGAAGATATGGGCCTTAGCCTCATTCTCTAACACAACAAAGCCAGCAAGAAGCTCTTCCATGGTGAGGTTGTCAGCAAAGTTGTCCTGGAACTTGGCCAAAGCTTGATCAATTTTGCTATCTTGAGCAGCGGAAGGCTCTGGAACAGTGTCTGAGAAAGCGGTGATCAATTGTTTGATCGAGCTCTCAAATCAGTCACTGGAGGTCAAGTGATGTTTTCGATGGGGGCGGACTCCGAGTCGCTGAGAGGCCAACCCAGTTGGGGATTCCTCTCCACCTGAGGCACGTTCTGGCGCATTAGGGCCATCTTGCTTGAGATCCTGATGGTTGTTGTTATCTTCTCCATTGCCATGTGCACCCCTATGCAAGGCACCAGTTGCCGCTTGACCAGTAAATATGATATGTAGATTGTTGTACTCCGGGAAAGGAGTATTCTTAAAACGCTTAGCCAGTGGGTGCAACTAAACAACACATCTCAATCCTGATCAGACCAGTGTGACTGTATGGGAAAAATGAGATGGAGAAGGCTTACAACTAAGAAACTGTTCCAGACATCATCAGAAGCAGTTACCATACATTTTTCATTGTTCCATCCAAATCCGCTGGCCCCTTTACAAGCCACAAAAGCACCATACCACTTTCTGAATGTCTAGAAACAGGAATAGTTTCAGAAATCTCAGAAGTACAAAGGATGAGGAGAAGACTTACTTGATTGTACTTTGATCTCACTTTTTCGCCAGTGAACAGGGTGCCAGGGAAATCCGGACCTCGAGCTTGAATCCCCCTTTGGATTGCTTACCATCTATGACCACCTTGACATACAAGTCCAAGGCACTCTTCTCCATCACAGAGCTCCAGATAAGCTTGCCCAACCCGCTGTTTTCATTGGAGGTGATGTTGTCAGTAGCCTGAGTGAGCTGACTTGGGACTTGACCTCCTGCATTTGGTGTGGGTGTTTTGTTTGATGGGATCTGAACAGTAGTCTGATTATTGCCGGGAGTTGTCATGAAAGACAACTGGGAACATTGGGTGGTTCCTGGTGACAAAGACTGAGTTCCAGTGGGGCTTTTGCTTGGGGATTTATTTCCTTTTTGTCCGCGAGCCATGAGTAAGATGATTTTCTGGGTGGGTTAATGGTGATGGTGATGGGATGAGGCTGGTTGGTTTCAACTGGTTGTTTAGTTGGTATTGAGGGGATATAAACACATATAGGCTGGCGATATCAGCTGAACCACTTGGCAGCCACACCAAACAAGAAATTTGATATTTTGATAACCAATCAGTCCCCGGGGGGAAACCCCTTATTATTATTACAAATTACGGTGCAGCCAAACGGGGCCTTAGAAAATTAGAAACCAACAGGGAAATTGTTAAGTGGTGAAAAAATCAATGAGCAACTAACCAGTGTTGAATATAGATAGGAAATGATGCATCAATTTTACTTCTTCCCACTACTCATTGGTCAGGCAAGTTGTAAAGTTTGCATCCTCCAGAGAAAAGTTATCAAAAGCATCCTTGTATGGCAGGGCCGATTTAAGCATGTATTAGGTGGAGTTCCATTGGGTTGGTACATCAACCAAAGGGAGAGCTTGCTTTTTTTATTTTCGTCGGCTTGATGGCATTGTGGAACACCTGCTTGCGAGAAGGAGTACTTTTCACGTATTTTACTGATGCCTTCAGTGATAGTCTTGAGGCCATCCTTGACAATCAAGTTGATGATGTGAGCTGCGCATCAGACATGAAAGAATTTACTGTTAAACTTGAGGGCATTTTGGCTTCAATCTTTCAGGATTGATAGTACATGAGAAATCACCACATCGTTTAAGCTAGCATTGTTGACGGTTACAAAAGCAACCTTATCAATGATTTTCCATTCGCCAATGGTGGTTATGAGTTGCTTTCCAATGGCAATTCCAGTGTGAGGTGTTGGAATTTCTTTGAACCCAATTAATTGTTTTTGAAGGGTCCAGTTGGCCAATATATAGTGAGCTGATACCACCATGAAGGATGTTTGATTAGATGACGTCCAGAGGTTGGTGGTCAGCGCCATCCAATCAACCTGGCTGATCTTGCAGGCAATATCTCCTTTCTTTGAATTGTACAATTGCATCACATTGGACCGGAGGGTGGTGCGGGAGAAAATCTTGAACTTTGGTTGAAGTGAGGCTAAGAATTTTTGAAACAGAGGATTATCAACCAGCTTGAAAGGTTGTTCGTCGTCAATTATCATCTTTGCCAAGAGTTTGTGTGATTCCTCCTGAGAAAAGACCCACGTTGAAGTTGCTACAGCCGATGTCTTGAGCAAACTTTTTTATTTTTACTTTTGAAGTCACTGCATTGTTGGAGATGCCACCAGAGGTGGTTTGTTCCACTTTTACTCTTGCCGCTCAGGACCATCTTGCAACTGCAGCAAGTCGCTGTCAAATTATCACCCGAAAGATTAATTCATACTTCAGTGACTAATGACTATAAAAAAGTAAGAAATCAGAATTGAGGTAAGTTCACTCACCAGATCCGTGCTCTTTGAAATGAAGCCAAACTTTGCTGGTCGTTTTCCTTTTCTTCATGGTTGGTTCAGTGCTAGCTTCAGAATCTTGGGTTGAAGTGGCATCCATTTGATGTGACTTCTTGACAGATTGAGCCCGGCTCCTCAGAGTTGGAGTTGGGGCTGTAGAAGGGGGATCTTGCAATACCGGAAACTCCACATCTGATTCAGAATCCGATTCTGATTTGGAATTGCTGGCAGTTTGACTGCTGGTAGTGATGTTGGTTGTACCCGATGCCACTGCAGTGGATTTTGCTGGATGAAGGTGCTTTTTTCCTTGAGGCATCTTGATTGCTGCCATTAAAAATGATAAGGTTGGTTAAAGATCCTGAGGGGTGCTGTAGAGTCCGAGCGGCAAGAAGGGATGATGAGGATATCATATCTGATATCAATAATCACCCCCCCCCCCCCCCCATGGCATATGGCCGGTTCATTGGGCAAAATCCGGGCCAGCCCAAGTAGATACTGGGATGTCCACACCCGCCCCGCTGACCGGGCGGGTCATTAGGGGTTGCTTTTTACTCAGAAAGGTATCCCAAACCCGCCCCACAACCCGGTGGGTCTCAGGTACCCGCCGGGCCGCCCGGGCCCACTTGCATCCTGACTTGGGAGTCAGCTCTCCATTTTTTTGGGAGTCGTTTAACCAAGCCCCATTATAAAAAAATCTAGTCGGACAAACCTCAATCGAACGCAAGTGGTCTTCAATCGTTCGATTGTTTCCAAGACGGTCACGTACAATACTCATGGGCATCTCCTTACATGTTGATCAATTTCTACTCGCCGGTGGGGGGCCAGCCAGTTACACCAGCGAAGCCTCCCACCACGGGGACGCGACAGGACGCGACTTCAGTTCGGCTTCCGTGCAGGTGAGCTCTGGAAATTCTCCAGAGTTGTGGGAAGATGAGGTTGAAACCCTGCGGCGAACTCCCGAAAAATTGTTTCAATCATTATACGGGAGCTCCACTACATATCTGTGCGACAAGTCACATCCACCTTAGTATTCCATATATCATCTTGAAGCTGCATTAATGGACACATATATAAATAACCTGGCCGAGTCCCCAGCTGTTGTGTCCAGTATACTCCAACCCTTCTCCTTTACCACAGTCCTCGCGGGTTCGCTAACTAGCAGCATAGTTTAGACCTTTGTACGCCACGTCTTGAATTATAATGGGCTTGCTCGTTACCCTTCCGTATCGCCGACTTTTCTGGTCGCTTTTATGCTGCTTCGCGGTTGCTTCGGCAATGGAACCTTCCCGGATGAGGGGGCTCATGCAGGAGAGCTCGTGGAGCCAACCCGGCTCAAGTAAACCTTTACTGCTCTCTAGCCTATAGAAATCACCCCAGATTCTCACATTCTTTTTTTTTTTTTTTTTTTTTTTGGACCCAATCATTGCAGGGTCATCTTACCTAGGTCGGCGTGAGGGCCAATGGGGACGGCTTGCAGATGCCAGTCCTCTGAAACCACGTCGTCGGGGAGCTTGGAATTTTAGTCAGTATCCTTTTATAACATATCTTATCATCAAATAGACTTCTATTTTATTCATAAAATGTGATCCACGTAGGCACAGACATCAGACGACCTGAACTGACCGCGAATGCAGAAGCGATACACCTCATAGGTGCTTCTCATGATGGTTAGTACTACTCTACTCGACTCCTCTGACTGTCCAACTAGCTCAATTATCACTTCCATATCCTCTCTCTTCTTGAGCAGATATCTACGAGTACATCCTCGCAAGAGCTATGCTGCAATTTTTATCGGACTTATGAGGAGAAGAAAATCCCATTGGGCCTGTTACACCTCCCCCACAAAACGTATCCATTTGGATTGGTATTGGATGGCCACCCAGGTTCGCCGTCATCGGTTCTACGAGCTGGTCATGGTACTAGACTCAATGGCGATGAATGGACAGAGCTCTACGCGGAGTTGATCACCACACTCTCCAAGAAGTATCACGAAGAAATCAAAGCTAGCTTGCCCACCGACTTGTACAAGCAAGAACAAACCAAACTAGCAGATTGGCTGCATAAACAGATCTTCGATCCTGACCACGGACGTCCACTCCTTGGAACCTCCCGAAACTCTTTTACAATGGAGCCAATTCGAGATGTCCAAGTTGGAGATGATCAGGTTCAACTAATAAACTACTTTTCACAGGCATTGGTCAATCAGCATAACCCAATACTCGAACCAACAGTCACTAAATTACTAGAATCTTACAAATTACAAAGATCCTTGGAATAAAGCAAAGTACAAAGTAGAGCGACTCAGTTGATAGGTCTGATAGCTCTTTTGATCTATCTTGTGCTATTTAATATATCCTGTGACTGTAACTTGTTATTTGTAACTGTCCATAAATCTGTTTCAGGATAGGACACAGCCCATAATAATTTACCTGGTTTGGATTGCTGCTCTCAATTAATTTCTTCTTGATGCGATATTTCGCTTGTCTAGCTGTTGAATCGTTCCTTGAATCCAAGATGATGTGGTTGCTTGTTCCTTTGTTGATCTAATTCTAACTTTTTTGGTGTGGGGTTGGTGATGAAAACATCTGACTCCTGAGTCAACTTGGCATAAGATGATCAGCCTGTCATGATAGATTGAGCTTGATGGGGCCCTTGAGTTGGTGGTAGTTGACCGTGGTACCCCCCGGGGATGGTGGCAGTCATGTAAACAGTCGAGCAGCAGTTCGGCCCGAGTGCTGTGCAAAGGAACTTCAAGATGAACCAACAACAACAACAACAGCACTATCGACCATACACACCATCATCAGCATCAGCATCACCATCACCATCAAATATCAAACGAAACAACTCACCAGCATCCAGAACAACAACAACAACACCCACTGACACCCCTACCAACAGATCACCATCAAACCTCAAACTCAACCAGGTACCATTCCGATCAGGCTTTCAACCCAAGGGTGTCTATCGTGATCGGACCGAAGAACTGATCACTGCCAGGAACTCAAGACAAGAATCTAAGAGACTCGAGGAAGCTAGACTCCAGAAACGACTAGAGAAATTAATCCAACTGCATTTCCCAGCAGAAAACAATCAACAATCAGCCACACAGGATGGCCAACAAGATCAAAACCAGCCATCCCTCATCAATCTATCACAGAAACTGATCGGGATCGTCAAACATGTGGGTCATGATCGGGGAGAGTTTGGAGGGATCAATCTAGTAGGGCAGAATGGAAGCATCCGAGCCCAAGAGCAGAGGATCGTACGATGGCAGGAGGATGGAGAGGTGAAAGAATGCAAGTACTGTCAGACCGCATTCGGGCTACGGATTCGGAAGCACCATTGCAGACTATGCGGCTCGGTCGTCTGTTTCTCACCGCCATGGACGACTGGTCAACGCGAGCGATGTTCGACGATGATCCGGTTCGAGTGGGAGAGAGCGACGGAGAGTCGGACGGAGAAGGGAATCCACGGAAGAATCATCCAGCTCTCCGAACAGGAGATGGGCATCGTCGACGACCCCCACTCCGTCCTCGACCTCATCTCCTCTTCCTCCACTAACCCCGTCCCGGCTCACATCCCCCCTAAACCTCGAAAGGGCGTCCGCGTCTGCTCCCATTGTCTCGCTATCATCCTCAGGCGTCAGGCTATGACTTATCCCCCCAAAATCCCTGACTACATCCATCTCTATGCGAGCCTGAAACGAATCCAAGACGAAATCGAAAAAGCAATCCCTGATTTCCAAGAGCTTTTATCGAGCTCCAAGTCAGTCTCTCTCTTGTATCTCTTCTGCTTCACCCAAAGAAACAGACAGATTCACTGACCGAAGGAAAAATAATGACAGACATCCGAATTCGAACTTGAACCCATCTTCGACGAGTGATCTGCCGATCAAGCTCCTGACGATCCGCCGCAAGCTATTGACGAACCTGTCGTTATTCGACGCGCATTCGAAGAAGCTGATCGGACAAGTCGCGAGACGGGAGGGTGAGAACGGCTCGGAGGCCCGCTTGGTCAGCGCAATCACGACGAGGGCGGGCCTGTTCCTGCGGGACCACATGAGTCTGATCCGTTCCTTAGGCCTGCTCGAAACCCAACCCACTCCTCAGCCAAAACCTTCTTCTTCTACTACTACCACTACTATGAGAGCTACTAGACCAAGACCTTCTTCGTCATCCTCCTTACCAACCAGTCTGCCTCAACCTAATCCTCTCGCCTCAACTCCTCCCAATAAACTTCACATCAAAAACCTTAGCATCTCCTCTGAGACTAATCATTCCATTCATTCTCAGGAAGATACTCATCACATTCTCGTCCAACTTAACGTCCTCCTCGAACAAGAAAATCGCATCGAAGGCTTCCTGGCTCTTGCCCAATCTAAACGCCAACTCGAAGACGTCGCTAGTCTCAAATCTTCCCTAGACGATCTGTGCGTCCCGCCCCTCTTTTCTTACCTTTTCTCTTCCTTTTTCTTTATGTGACTGATTTACCTTGCTTTTGTTCTATTTCTGCTGCTCCTGCTGCTGCTGCTGGGTAATTTCGTCGACAATTTTCGGGTTGGCTTTGAGTCTTGTAGGAGAGAAGAAATTGCAAATTTGAAGAAATCTCTTTTATGATCTCTTTCTCTTCATTACTAACAAACAGACCAACCTCTACAATACATCCTATCGTGGGAGTTTTCATTACACTACTTTCATACATACAGTACACACACATTTCTTTTTTTTTTTTGTTCATGCATTACAACACCCATAGACACATCTTCATTTTTTTTTTGTTGGATTCATTTTTATTGTCTCTTCTCCCTTTTGTTGGTTCAAATTTTGTTCACATTATATTGTACTAGGACTTGATAAAATTTTATATTTATCAGATTAGATGTAGTTGTGTTCATGATCTGTTTTTGCATAATTTTCCAACATCAAACAATCAAGGTGACCAGGTTTTTTGTTTTCGGGAAAGTATCAAGGACAGAAGAAAAAAAAAGACAGTCACATGAACTTCCCTCTATATTGTGTTTATGGTCAATTATAGGCTTCTGAATTGTGATGTGTATGTAGGACGAAAGGAAAACAAAAGGGAGACATTCTCCATCTACATATGTATTATAATGCCATGTGAAATCATAAAAATTAGGAGATTTATGAAGCCATGTTGTTTTGTGGAGATCCAATGAGACTGTTGACAGATTTGGATCTCCATTGAATCAATTGTTCATGATTGATGTTTGAAATCGCGCCTGGATGATCATCTCATCTGTGATTTGTGAGGTCTTGTAGAGCAGTCATCTAAGTGCTCACTTTACAACTTGAAAATATCGGGTTCCACCCTTGGTGTCCTCAAAAGCATTACTGCTCCATGTGGCTTTATTTTGTATCCTCTTTTTGCTTCAAATTTGGAAGATTTCCTGCATGTTTTATTCAATGGGCCGCACAATTAAAGAAAGTTCAAGAAACAGCCTTTGGGTTGCCTGCCGCGCCCGCCGCAGCAGGAGGGCTGTGCCAAGTTGGAGGTTGGCACAGTATTGCGGAAGCTCGGTGTGATCTCAACCTGTTGATCAGATGCTCTTAAGAACACCTGGATTCGACGTTTTGCATTGCCTCAGATGACAGAGGAGTTTTTTTTTTTTCTTGTTATTCGGAAGGCTTGTTCCCTCTGCCTGGTTGGCAAGTCAGGAAATGTGAACGGCATTATCCCTGTGAAACGCTTTCGATTTTATAGAGCTCACTCCAGATGATGGGAGTCTCCATGCAACAAGTGGCGGGGAATTGGAAGGAGACGCCTTCGGAGGTCGTAGTTAGCGGATGCTAAAATGCTCGTAAACTTCTGGCCTTCCAACTCCGTTTCCAAGTGAAATTGAGGCTTTTGCATGTGTATATACATCCCGAAAGATGTTGCTTATTTTTTGAAGAATAGAACACAAAGATAGAGCCATGTGCTTCTCGACCCGATTCCAATACACCATCCTTTCGTTTTCCGTTATCTCAAGAAGTTTTTGCAATCATTTCTATTCATTTTGGCAATGTCCAACCCTCGATCAGGCCGTCTGCAATCGGTATCTTCATTTGCTGATTGTTTCGTTGGCCTTTCCGCCAGCTTCTTGGGAGAGGTAGCCGAGACTACCGCCCGGCTCTCTAGTCCACTGAAGAATTCTGCTCGTCTAACAGTCGTCCATCCGCCTGAGGCCCCTCATCCATTACCGAGCGTCAGTGAGCTCGGTGGTCTTCCAACTCAAGAGCATTCTCTCCCACCATTAAAACCACATTCAGGTATGTGTCCAATCTATGATTATCATGTCCATCGCCTTTCATACTTGGAACCAGTAATCAATAAAACTTCAATCAGATCACCCGGAGCCGCTGCCGAAACCGGTCCATCTTCCAGAGACGCATCCGCCGGACGAGTCCTTGCCGAATGATGCCTGGCAATTACAAAGTAAGTAGAATGATCTGTATCAAAACGTTTCCTATATCCGACCAAACTGACTTGATCAATCCTGGTTTTCAAAAATCAGCGGAATATTATAAGCTCGGCCCGCACCTCGAGCGTTTGACAGATCGACGTAAGTAGTTCTTAGAGTAAAAAAAAACCATCAATCTTACAGAGAACTGAGTTTGTGAATTTTATACCAACCCGTAGTCCGCGTAGTTAAATATATGTCCGAGCCAGCACAATCAAAACCTGCCGTGATTGTTGAATTCTTCCAACGATATGGATCCTTGACTCGTCCAGAAGAACGACTCTCGCTTGTTCAAGGGGCGATTCAAGACCTGCTAAAATACCGTCAGATAACGTATGAGCTTGGACAACATTGGCTGAAGGCTTTTGAGGCGATTTGTCAGACCCAAAAAGACTTTGAAAGCGAGTTGAGAATGAACACTTTGGTCAGCTTCGGCTATCGTAACTTCATGACAAAGCTTTCCACACCTACGATCGCCCCAAACCCAGATCACGTAAAACTTGAGAGATTGGCTTCAAACCTCGAAGCAGATCGAGACCAACATTACCAACATAAAATATGGGCAGCGGATCATACTGGTCAAGGCCGTCAGAAGACCTTGGAGCGAAAAAATGCGATTAAAAAAGTAGATTGGAGCCAAGGTTAGTTTTTCATCTTTTCCTCTTATTATCATTATTATTATTATCATTTTATTTTATTTTTTTCTCAAGCGACGCAACTGGTAGGATGATTGAATTTTTTGCTTGTTTCTTGGGTGATTCAGAGACGCTGTTTCCATACATAGGTTTAGGGAATTCGGGTAAGCCATAGATAAAATATGTAGACTGCTGTCTCCGCACTTGAAACTGAATCTGGTCTTCACGAAACCTCAAACTCCGAATAGGCGAAGTAAAGTCGTTCAAACGGATGATTCAAGAGAGTCCGGTCGTCAAGGCTTACTTTGAAAAGGCTCGCAGGAGGCCTACATGGTCGATCTTGCTGGGAAGGTACTTCAAGCGATATGAAAAGAGACTTATCGCCAATAATGAGGTGAAATTTATCGCAAGATTAGGACGGACAGCGAACAAAGCCAACGGCGAAACAGACGCCCAAACCAAAACGGCCTCCATCATCTTACTTTGGCAACTCAAGAGCAGAGGAGGAATTGGAGTTCATGGGCTTTTCGACGATTTTAGGTTCACCAGTAAGGCTCAAGAACTTGCTACCATCCAGCTCAACTCTTTACTTGAGCAGAAAACAGTAGGCTCCTTGTGGAATAATGATTTGGTGCTTCTGCAAACCCTCCAAACTCGTCAAAGGTTTTCAAAATTGAACAAAGCTGAACTTTACTCATTCGACTTCTCTCCCAAGCCACTACTACCTCCACATCTTCTTCCAAAATGACTTTTTTTTACTTGAAAAAAAAGTAATTACATTCACGTTCACTTTCATTGTACCCACTCTCACTTTTGCATCCACTCACTTTTTTTCCCCTTCTTTTTCAAGCTGATGTTATTGTTAGAACAATGTGCTATCACCCTTTCTTTGTAATCTCTAGTCTGTAGATGGCTGAACAATCTCATCATCCAAACCACTCAGCTCAGCAAAAGGCCAAGTTGCAAATGTGTATCACTGACAATTCTGTATGCAGACACTTCATCAAAACTGAATACCATGACAACAACAATCACTCTTCAAGAATAATTGCAAAGAGTATTTCATTGAAAAACCTTTCCACTTGATCATATGACGGTGATGAAAGCGCTTTCAAAGTGCTCCTTCACTTCGAACCCCTTCCAGTCATGGAGTTTCTCAGCTTGGATCAAACAAGCTTGAGTCTATTTCATTTACAAAATTATTTATTCATGATGTGAAATGACCAGTTTCTCATTTTTTTGATGTCACATGTATACATGATTGCTTTGATAGACATTGGTCTAAAATTTCTACATTCCTATTCATTTTCTATGCAATAATAAAAAAAGACTTGTTGATTCAACTGCTTTTTCATGCAATATTTCTCATGGTAAAAGTAAGGAAATTTAAAGAAGATTTGAGTAGTCAGTTGGCAATATATATAATATGTGTATGAAGAAAACTGGAGTGAAAGAGGTCCCATCCCAAAAAAATTGAACCCATTTCGGTGATGCATGCAATACATGAAAAAATTGAGTCTCTTGAAGAGTAAAGTTGATCGAAAGAAGAAAAAGACACAATGTTATACTAGTATTTGTGAGATCATTTCAGATGGATCAAGCATATGCAGAATTCCATCCCAGATGTCAGGCTACTTGTGTGAATTTTCCAACCTAGTCAGTGTGACAAGTAGGCACAATGCACAGCAGAACTCAAATATTTATGAGAATGACTTCAGTTGAAAAAGTTTAACTAGGAGGTTAATCAAGAAAATCAGCAAGAAAGGTAAGAAATTGAGTTTAAGATGAGAAAAATAAAATTTATATCCTATTTCTCTTCTGAAAAAAAGAAAAGAATAAATAAACAAGAACCAATCTATAATGAGTCAGTAAAAATTCTAGAATTATCTGTATCTAGCCTTTAATATTTAAGAACTTGTATTCGTCATGAGGGTTTCTTTCCTCATGGCAAAATCTTTGTATTATTTACATTCATCCATTCTTTGTAAATAAGCAATAAAAGCCTTTTTAGTTAGAAAAAAGTAAAGAAAACTAAGAGTTGATACTTGCTCGATCCATTGCGTGTACTGAGGATCATTAGTATTATTAGCTTGTCTGGGGCTGTGTCGACCTTAGTTGTTACAGTCAGGCTTGGAATGTTGGTCAGTGAGATCAAAAAATCAACCGGGATACGCGTTTTCAGATCAGCGCATCGCTCATCGCTTTTTCTACGGCCATTTCAGTTGCTTCGACGGTAGACCTAGGATGAGGAGCAGCAGATTTTTCGGAGCTGGGAGTTTCGTGCATAATTTCCATGCGATCCCGAGGATGTTTTGGTAAGACTAAGGCGTGCGGACTCTCCGGTTGTATCTGGTGATCGCCTGCCTATAACAAAAAAAGAAATTCAAAAACCGATTGATTTCTTTCAGTTGTTTTGAAGATTTAATCAAACAAGGAAGCATAAAATTTATCTGGTTCCTGAAAAGTCGGCTTACTGAAGTTTTGAAATCCATCGCATCCACATCTTTTGTTTTATCGTTTGAGGAAAGCTTAAGCTTGCCTGTTCTCAAAGCAGTAAAGCTCGCCATGGCAAATTGCTTCCCGACAAGCTATCCAAGTAAACAGATGTATATATTTAGCAAAAACACAAGCGACATGATGATGAACAGTCAACTAGAGAAATACTCAACCAATAAAAGAAGTAATTGGAAAAGAGTTTTGAACATTTGATCAGTATTTTGGTATCCCTCTTAGGCTCTTGGATAAATGTTCTTTGTGTTGGATACGTTTGTTTTTACGACCTGTGAGCGTCTCTCAACACAAGACATGTAAATTTTTTTTGTTGTATTTTTGATCCACTACCACCATTGATACCTAGGGCATGGATTTCCAGGTAACTGCGTATGACCCAGAAAAATCCAGGTTCCCGACAGGCTATACAATACAGTTGCAAGCGGGGTGGTCAGGTGTGATGTGGAATTGATCGAACAAGCTGTTTCCGATCACTAGTCGGAATTATATGTACCAGGCAGCCAATATTGTCCTGGGATTTAACAATGCCCCTAGCCGTAGGTCTTCATCACCTAGCCAGCTGTTTGTAGTGCAACGTGACAGATACATACCAACATTGGCTGGCACCCATGGTATGCCGTTAGTTCCTTTGTTTTCTCAAAGCTAACGCTTCCGAGGACGCAGTAAATGGTATCCAACGGCTATGTACAAAACAGATCAGGTAAGGAATGTCAGTATACCGCAGGCCCGGAAAAAGTCTAACATACCTCAAAGTCTAGGAACTGTCTAGATTCAAGCCGCGGTCGAATACAAGTCACGATGCTCTCTAGCCCCTATCCTTAGGGGTGGTATGGAGAGCTCAATTTCGCAAAAAGGCCGTTTATGACCAGGTGCGTTTCAAAGCACGGGTCTTGAGGCTGAGCTGACATCATTTGGACGACGTTTCTGAAGTTTGAACGGCCATCGATTGGAGCGCTCAAGAAACTAATGTATTTAAAATGACTTTCAGCGGCAATGTGCAGTAAAATCTGAAACTGGTCAACAAGGTACAAAGATCATCGCCAAACCTACTGCCCGGGTGCTCCATCGGTGATCCCTTGTGCAAGATGGAGTTTTCCCGATTCCGCACCTCAGATGGGATCGATTTGATCGACTCTGGAACACTTCGGAGTGAAATTATGAAATCATTTGTGTAATTGGGCGGGCTGATGCCAGCGATGTGGGGTGAGAGTTTCATAGAATTTGGGGGACAAAACCCACGTGACTGATGTACAAAAAGAATTGCCCACACGCCTTAATAACAGCGAAGCTCAATCAACGGTGGGCCAGCTACGCTAACCGTAGCGTTAGCGTAGTGTAGTGTAGCAAAAAACCGCTACAATGTAGCGTAGCGTTAACACGTTTTTCAATTTCTGCGCTAACGCTACGCGCATGGGGGAAAAATTTGCGCTAATGTTTAGCGTAGCATTAGCGCGATTCCCCCCATGTGCGCTAACGCTACACGCTCAGGATGCAAAAAACCGCCCACTACGCTGTGTTACAGCCATTTTTAGCGGTTTTTAGGTGTTTTTTAAAACGCTGTAGCGTAGCGTAACGCAGCGTAGCGGCGCCAGCGGTGCGCTAACACTACATCAAAATTTGGCTAGTGTTAGCGCCGCTATAAGTTAGCGTAGCGCAGTGGCAGTAGCGGCACGCTAACACTACCCAAAAAAAAAAAATGGTGCCGCTACGCTAACGCTACATGGGCCTGTAGCGTAGCGGCCCACCGCTGGCTCAATGACATGTGGAAATGCATAACAATGATTTATGGTGGTGCGAAATATCTCTTTTCCCTTTCATCACCCCAAAGATTTCCCCCACACACCAAGAAAGATGTGCACTCCAAGGATTCTTGGAGTGCACACCAAAAGGGGAAAAACTTGGTGATTTTGGAGTACATGGTTGTGCACTCCAAAAAATCTGAGTGCACAGACTTGCCTATCTTAACAGAAGCCCACCTTAATTGACTTGCAAAGCAAACCTGAAGGAGGGGCTTGGGACTAAAGTGAGGTTTTTGGCTTGAGAGGGTTTGATGTTTTGGTGAGGGGAAAATTCCTACAGTTCCCCTCAACTGCCACCCTCAAATACGGCCTGCCTGTTGGATCAGTGAAACTGGTCATGTCTTGCCTACCATCCAACAAAAGATGAGACTCTTTTTGTGTCAGCTATGTGTATGAAACTTTGGCTTAATAATATAAAAGCCAAGTACTATCACTGTGCTGAAGGACTCAGGTTAAAGACCAAGATTACTCCTAGTCACCCTCAAAGTATTAAGTGGTCCAAACTTCCCACTTAAGAGGTTAAAAATTCCACACTCCTCAGTTAATGACACTTGAATAATCAAGAGAGCACTGTAGGAGACAATAACAGAATATGTTATTGTAGAGTGTTTGGAAGCAATAATTAATATTGCAAGAAGTAGCTGGCAAGCACCTGAGCTGAAAGGCTACAGTCAGAGTTGGTGGTCTTGCAGCAACTACTTTTTAAGGAATTAGTTAAGTTTTGAGTCTGGGATAACTCTCAGCTTAATAGTAATTCCAGTAAGAGGGTAGGGTTGGATTGGATAAAAAGACTACTCTAAAATTAGGTGGAGAATATTCACTGTAATCACTAAGTGTACTGGGGGTGAATATGCTGAGGAACCAATCCTAGGCAGGAGAAGGCCTCCTTAAATATTCTAGAGGTCCCCTTGAGGCCCTCCTTAGAATATTCTAGAATCTCTCTTTGGTCTACCATGGTAGAGTTATTCCCCTGATGTAATGGGAATAATTCAAGGTATTTCAAATAATGTATATTCTATGTCCCATGACATCATGATGCATATTTATAGCCAATTACATCATGTGTCTACTTAAAATAGAATACTACTAGTAGAAAAGTGCCACACTCTTGACATGGTGTGGTAATTTTCTTTTCTACAAGTTTAATAATTTAATTATGCTTGTAGAATAAAATTTCTAAGGTTACCCTAAATGTATATTTAACCCTAATTTAATATACATTAATTTTGGGGCTTGGTTAAACGACTCCCAAAAAGTGGAGAGCCGACTCCCAAGCCCCGGATTCCCCGAAAAAAGGGAGTCGAACTCCCAAAACCTTCGATTGGTTTGGGAGTCGACTCCCTAGAAAAAATAATAATAAAAAATCAAAATCCCCGGTCGGTTTGGGAGTCGGCCTCCCAAACCGACCAGGGTTTGGGGGTCGATGACCCAAAATACCCAGGGCAGCGGCCGGGAGGAATCCACCCGGCCACTGATCAGGTACACTCAACGGCCGGGAGCTGACCCCTCGGCCGTGAGAGTGCACACACCTCAGCGGCCGAGACGATTCCTCTCGGCCTTTGAGGCTATACACTCTCAACGGCCGAGACAATTCCTCTCGGCTGTTGAGGGTACACACTCTCAACGGCCGATGGAAACCGTCTCGGCCGTTTGAGGTGTACACACCTCAATGGTCAAGGGTACACTCGACGGCCGTTGAGGTGTACACTCTGAGAAACTTGGCTGCTGAGTGCACACCTCAACGGCCGAGAGCTGTGTCCCAGCCGCGAATAGTGTACACCTCGACGGCCGAGGTGGTTTCCCTCGGCCGGTGAGAGTGTATATCCTCAACGGCCGAGAGGAATTGTCTCGGCCGCTGAGTTGTGCACACCTCAACAGCCGAGACGGTTTCCATCGGCCGTTGAGAGTGTGTACCCTCAACACCGAGGGGAACCGTCTCGGTTGCTGAGGTGTGTACACCTCAACGGCCGAGAGAGAGTGTATATGTACCCTTGATGGCCGAGAGGATTCCTCTCGGCCATTGAGGTGTACACTCTCATGGCCGAGGGGTCAACTCCCAGCCATTGAGAGTGTACCTCAGCAGCCGGAAGGAATTTTCCCGGCCGCTGCCCTGGGTATTCGACCGGGGATTTTTATTTTTTTTTATTATTTTTCTTAGGGAGTTGACTCCCAAACCAATCAAAGGTTTTGGGGGTTCGACTCCCAAAATTTGGGGATTGCAGGGGTTGGGAGTCGGCTCTCCATTTTCTGGGAGTCGTTTAACTAACCCCCTTAATTTTATTCTATATTTTTGTATGTTTTATTCCTTTCGTCCTTCAAGGTTTGGGATATATACAAAGTCCTTGAAGGAGTAGGAAATTGGGGATACTTCCACTGGGCAACCCCCTTTATAATCTTATGAAATAAAGTCTTATTAAATAATATTATTACATATTATATTACATATTGAGTATTTAATATTCAATATTCATTTAGCAGTCTTTTGGATACTATGAAGTATCTCTAAGGCTGACATTTTGCCTTTCAAACATATTTGAAATCCCTGGTTAATCTCATGCTTTCTTGAATTCAGGCCATCTGTATCCCTCAATACAGCCACATACAGATGGCCCAGGCTCATGGAATCATGGAATTTGCAAGGCATTTTGGATGTGGTCAAAGGACAAAGAGAGGTCCATCCATTATCAGATGGTAGGCAATATCTGCCTGGTTCTAAGGATCCAACAGGCAGGCCATATTTGTGGCTGGAAGATGGTGGGGGCAATTCCCCCCCCCCCCCAAAAAAAAAACATCAAAACCTCTCAAGCCAAAAAAGCTCACTTTGCTCCCAAGTCCCTCCTTTGGATGCTCACTTTGCAAGTCAATCAAGGTGGGGCTTGTGTTAAGCTAGCAAGTATTCACTCCTGTAAATCTTGGAGTGCATACCCATGCACTCCAATGTTTTCACTTCCTAGGTATTTCTAGGAGTGCAAATCCTGCTCAATCCAAATTCTTTGGAGTGCACAGAGCTTTGCTCCAAAGAGTTGGAGTGTTTTCTTGGACACCCAGGCTGATATCTCACAAAATACATGGCATTTTTGATTCATGGCACTCAACATAAAAAGATATAATTGTTTTGTAATTTTGGAAAGCCATGATGGCCAGGTCAACAAAGAGACAGAGAATTTTTTTTATTTTCCTTTTGGAATCCACAATGAACAGGCCTTAGATAGTCAGGCCCTTCTTGTCAGCTATGTGTATGAAACTTTGGCTTAATAATATAAAAGCCAAGTACTATCACTGTGCTGAAGGACTCAGTTTAAAGACCAAGATTACTCCTAGTCACCCTCAAGGTATTAAGTGGTCCAAACTTCCCACTTAAGAGGTTATAAAGTCCACACTCCTCAGTTAAAGACACTTGAATAATCAAGAGAGCACTGTAGGAGACAATAACAGAAAAGTTATTGTAGAGTGTTTGGAAGCAATAATTAATATTGCAAGAAGTAGCTGGCAAGCACCTGAGCTGAAAGGCTACAGTCAGAGGTGGTGGTCTTGCAGCAACTACTTTTTAAGGAATTAATTAAGTGTTGAGTCTGGGATAACTCTCAGCTTAATAATAATTCCAGTAAGAAGGTAGGGTTGGATTGGATGATAAAAGAAGACTACTCTAAAAGTAGGTGGAGAATATTCACTGTACTCACTTAGTTTGTTGGGGGTGAATATGCTGAGGAACCAATCCTAGGCAGGAGAAGGCCTCCTTAAATATTCTAGCGGTCCCCTTGAGGCCCTCCTTAGAATATTCTAGAATCTCTCTTTTAGTGTACCATGGTAGAATTATTCCCCTGATGTAATGGGAATAATTCAAGGTATTTCAAATAATGTATATTCTATGTCCCATGACATCATGATGCATATTTATAGCCAATTACATCATGTGTCTCCTTAAATAGAATACTACTAGTAGAAAGTGCCACACTCTTGACATAGTGTGGTAATTTCTTTTCTACAAGTTTTAATAAATTGATTATGCTTGTAGAATAAAATTTCTAAGGTTACCCTAAATGTATATTTAACCCTAATTTAATATACATTAATTTTATTCTGTAAATTTATATATTTTTATTCCTTTGTCCTTCAAGAGTTTGAATATATACAAAGTCCTTGAAGGAGTGGGAATTTGGGGATACTTCCAGTGGACAACCCCCTTTATAATCTTATGAAATATTGTTTTATTAAATAATATTACTACATATTATATTACATGTGGAGTATTTTAATACTTAATTATTCATTTAGCAGTCTTTTGGATACTCTGGAGTATCTCTAAGGCTGACACTTCTTATGTGATATCAGCCTAGGGGTCCAAGGAAATACTCTTGGTGTGAAGCTCTGTGCACTCCAGATAATTTGAAGTGAGCAGGATTTGCACTCCTAGAAATACCTGGGAAGGGAAAAAACTGAAGTGCATGGGTATGCACTCCGAGATTTACAGCAGTGCAAATCTGTGCACTCCAGATTCTTTGGAGTACATACACAACCATGCACTCCAAAATCATCAAGTTTTGCCCCTTCTGGTGTGCACTTCAAGAAAATCTGGAGTGCACAGTATGCAGGGTATGCACTCCAAGAATCCTTGGTGTGCACACCTTTTTGGTGTGTGCAGGTAAAATCTTTGGTGTGCAAAAATACATACCCTTCTCATTTTTAACTTGAGAAAGTCCACTTTGCCCACATATCATTCTTCTCATACATCTCATCTTTATTCCTGATGTTTATTTCATTTTTGGATAAACATCCAACTTTCCAAAATAGAATTAATTGAGATCCTTAAAGATGTTACTTTAAAACCAAAACTCTATATTTTTGGAGAGGAATCTATTTCAAGAGACTGCAAGATTATTCTACATATTCATTTTGTTATTCCAGAAGGATCTGGACTGATTCTAATGGCTGGTCTGAGGATCTTCTCAGCAAAGCTAAACTAAGGATTTCAGAGTCTGGAATCCTCAGTTACAATCAGATAACCCACTCGAATCTATCAAAGAGGTTAACATCAAGAGATTTTTGTAAGAATGACTGAGCCAGGGGACTTCTTGAACAAACCATGGGTAAGTATGACTAACTATGTGGTACAAGCAAGTGGCCCAGGGAGAAAGCTCAAGCTCACAACAATATATGATAAGCAGACAATAGTAGAACATTTTTGCTAAGAGGTTAAATTCTTACTGCACTTGACTTACTTCACTGTTCCCTCATTGTAGAATTAGTACTTCTTGCCCCAAGTCAATTATTTTGGTTGTTGATACTACATCCATGTCCCAAATAATGGATTGATCTCATCCATGCTCATCAAACAACCATAAAGAATGCTCATATTTTCATTAGATACCAATTTCAGTTTTCTCAGATTGTTTAATACATGATTTCTAGCTATCAATTGCTTTTCTCACAGGAAAGATTGCCACTATTGGCATTCCTGAGGCTCAAGAAAATTGGTTGTGGAATTGAGGCTTGGGATAAGCCAATCAGATTCAGTTAACACTCAATCAAATTTATGTGGGGGTTGTATCCAATTTTCATTCAAGCAATTCAGCAGTTGTAATAAGCTCATCTGTGTCCAGTTTTCATATCTGCAGCAAGGGCCGACAAATGATCCACTTTGGCCTCATGTCACCTTCATTTTTGTACCAGGTCATAAATGTATGTAAATGATGGCATAATCATGTTCATTAGGGGAAAAAAGGTTGCTTGTGTTCTGAAGTGTAATGATATCTTTGGTATTTACAAGTGTCTTACAACAAATATGCTTTACAAGTGTCTCCGATTAGGAAAAGCTAAGAGATCAAACCGAAATCCATCCAGGCTCCTCGTTTTCATCCCAATCTTTCAATACAAGAAGTTTCAAAAATGCCTCGTCTCTTCCCGTCATGTTTCTGAATGTATGGTGCTTCAGCTTGATGTTGCTTGGATTGGAGTCGCTGGATTCATCAGATTCTTCACTGTGGTCCCGGAACCGTTTCTCGTAGAGCTCGATTCCATCAATGCCTCCCCAGACGCCTGCTAAGCTCAACATGCTTACTTTGCGCATTGCGACGATTTGACTCAGCGGGATGACGAAGAGCGATTTCCGAACTTTGAAACTTTGACCTAAGCCGGAGTAAAAAGATAGGTTGGGTCGGGAGACAGGAGTGCGAGAGAAATGTATCGTAAGGTGGCCAGGCATGTTTCCATAATAACAAAAAAAACTTGAGGAATTTCTTTCGGGGTCGAAGGGGGAATTGGAACTTGATAAAGAGTCACCCTCATCGATCGAACTACCGGGTGCACTGTGGAGATGAGTTGAGCAGGTATCGTTGATGGCGCGGAGTAATTTATTCGTCTTGGACTGGTTTCGAGAAGATGATTTGACTGAACCAGCGTCACTACTGGATGAAACCTTTCGGGATTTGTTTGGGAGCAGAAGTGAAAAGTCTAGACCGCTTTGACGATCTCCATTGATGATTTGACTACTTTGAGCTGTCGCTTCGTTTAGCAACTGAGTACCTCGCTCGGCGACATTAGTAATTTTCTTGGCGAACTTCATCAGCGTCTGGTGGCGTTCTGCCGGAGCAGAGGAAGAGGAGCTACTACGACTGAATTGAGATGATCCGGATTTTGAAGTTGAGAATAATGATCTGGGATTGCTTCCTGATGCATGGTTGGAACTCAAGGTTGATACTCCGTCGGAATCGATCTCTTCATCTGAGGCCCTTTTGCGTGGTGGTAATTCTGGAGATTTTGGCTTCTTGAGTAATTTCATGGCGATGTCTAAGCCTTCATCATGTCTTTGCTGCATGTTGCGCAGGGTCGCCAGGACAAACGCGCGGTCGGTTGGAACTCCTCTTAAGATTGTTTGATTTGCATCCAAGGCATCCCTAACTAACTTGGACCGGGTTTGGATTGGGTCCAATAGAAAGAATGCAAATCCTATCGCAAAGGTCACGCATCTGCCGAGAGTATGAGTGGAAAGAAACAATGAAAAGAACAAAATCGGAATAAAAGGCAACGCAAATCGGACGTTGGCGTCCATTCCGGGATCCGGATCTTCGAAGCTCTGATTGTGAGCTGCAGATATGTGTCGTAGTCGTGACGGGGGTGGAACAAATCGTCGATTAAACAAATTACTGAGCCGCTCGTGAATATCGCACAAATCCCCCGCAATGTTTTGAATGCCACCGCCGTACTTGTAGATGACAGGCTTATATTGTTGTGAAAGATTCTTTTTTCCAATCTTTGGCTCCTTGGGTTTTGATGATGAACTACTCGGCTTGTCCAACATATCCACTGGCCCATTCCCTGGCGTTTTATTGAATTCTTCAGCCGATGGTGTATCAAGGGGACTCTTGGCGTCCGCATCGTGAATGAACTTTGCTGTTGCTGCCGCCGCGACCTCAGCCACCTCGTCGCTCGATGGATCCGCATGTTCGAGGTTTTCTGGATTCCTCGCACCGTCCGTGCCTGTGAACAGGGGATCCGTTGTTTCCGGAGGGAACAGTATGTTGCCTGCATACTTGGGCCAAACGGATAAGCAGATTATAAAGGCCAGTGCGGCTGGAAGTACCATTTCATGCCACCAACACAGAGAATACACCGTTGCCCAAACAGCGGTACGATTGGGGTTGCGCCATGTTGTCAAACGCTTGACTTCGTTGATGCCTGAGCTCCAGCGTGGGACCACTGATATAAAGAGTCTTTCAACGTTATCGATAAGCAAGTTGGGGCGAAAAGATCTGACGGGATGAAGTTGAAGATCATAAGAATCGTGCGCTGGGACGTAACTCGCTGGCGGTGGTGGCTGATCAGAAGCAAGGCTGGTAAACAATAAGTCTGTCGAGGAATTGTTGATGCCTCGTGTTTGAACAGCCGTTATGTGGCGAGTAAAACGGCGAAGGTGGGTCGGGAAATCTGGAGGAAAAAGTGGATCGGATTCCATTGAGGAGATTTTAATGAATGAGCCGAAGCTGTCGTTGACAAGCTCAACCCAAGATTTGACTGTAGAAAGGGGATCAAATAATGAGTATACTTGTGACACAAGGCTTGTTGTCGACGCGTGGACGAAGACGAAAATTAAGCTTACACTGAGGAGATATTAGTTGGATTAGTTAGACGCTCAAGTTAATAGAAAAGAAATGGCAGAAGCATCAAGATAGCTTGAAACTTATGGCGTGCAGGCAAGGTGATAAAAATTATAGCTCGTGAGGGTAATGTGACGAGTCGATCCCGAGGTTCTACCTCAATGAAGAATATATGTCAAAGAAGAGAGATACAAACAAAAATTGTTGGGGGCGGAATGGGCAAGAAGAGGATAACTTGGGATTGTTTCTATGATTTCTTACAAGAGGAAATTATATCGCAAGGGATACGGGTTTAACGAATTTCCTTGGTTCGTTGGCAAGGTCAATAATATATACGCCTTTCCGAGTTTTGTCTAGGTAACACGAGCTGGGCAGACTTGCCTCTGCCTACATGTACAATTTTTCCCATTCGGACCTTTTTGATCCACTTTGTCAATGGTTGCTAGTTGCAAACTTGGCCCGAAGGCTATGTGAGTCAATCTAGTTAGGAAGGCCCAATCGGTCGGATCAGCTAAGAGCAAAACAAAACAGCATAGAGTGGAGTGGCGGTCCCAAGGACCAAACATGAAGATGGGATGTGGCACCCTGGGGCTCATCATGTTCTGCAACCAAGGCACTGCGCGAACATCGCTCTGATTGCTATCTTAATGGTGGGGCCCATCCTCCTCTGCACCCGCGAACTTGATCAAGTCCCTCCAAACTTCAGGCCTTGTTCTTGTCAAGGAACTCAGCTGATCAAACTACACTGCAGCAAACTTAACCGAGTCCCTTGCTTGCATAAGCCAGACGACAGGCAAGGAAGGAACTTGTTTTTAGTCGCGCTCCGAGCTCATTTTGCTTAAATTCGCGCTCCGAGCTCCTGTAGGTGATCTTTCAGATTTCTAATCATCTATAATTGCTCAATGCTTCGGCTATTGTAGAACCAGGTAGAACCGCATTATTGTGATATGCAATATTACCCACATCATACACAGCAAATTTGGAAAAATCATAAAGTTGGCCAGCACGGATCTCTGTTATGTAGCCAACGTTTTCAGGGGCAAAGATTGGGTATTTCAGGCAAGAGAAACCTGACAAAAGAAGAGTTACTCCCATTATCTAAACATAGGTGTGGCCACGTTCATAATCACAGGCCTCTGCCCACGATGATTGTCAACAATGGAAGTAGATCTTGGCGAACTTCCAGTAATATTACAAGATGTCATCATATTCGTAGGAAAGCTTGTGTACAAGAAGAATCGGAAGAGAGCCAATTTTGACAACTCCAAAAATCCGAGATTGGTGTTTGATAAATAAAGTACTACTACAATTTTAAAGCAAGCCCATTTGCAACCCAACATCAGCACACCAAGCAACATTCAAGTGTTCCCTATCGCAATGCGAGCGCCCGAACCATGAGTGTACTCTTCTTCAAACGAGGGCTGCTATGTTTTTTTTTCGAGATTTATCTGGACGGTGCGCAGGGGTTTAGTGTGAGCAATTATGGCACGGCTTTGACGTCTGTGGTCCACGATTGATGCTTTTTCCGGTGGATGAAGAAGGCTCAGTCGGGTTTGAGTTTGAGGTGGCCGAAGTGGTTTTGCGATTTTTACGGAACTTTTGCAGCTCGGTTTGAGCGAGTTGAACCAACTGGTCATTGGAAATCGTTGCCGCACCTCCAGGACGCGCGTCAATCCTTCGAGAGATGTTTCCAAAAGGAGGGATATCAAGCCTGGGTAGCGAGAGGTGGAAGAGAAGACCGATGAATGATTCCTTTGTGAGCTCGAACCCGGATTTGAACAGCCTTCCGGCTAGATTCTTGATGACCTGGAAATGGCTTCCGATGTCTGCGGTTGCATCGCAGATCTTGAATCTCGTCTGTAGGATCTCTTTCATGATCATAACCTGCTTATTTCGACTGCCCCAGTGCTTCTGGATCTTTTCGAAGGCCTCCATTCCAGATTCGGCTTCGACAACGGTTAGTACAAGTGCATCATCTACCGAAGCCGCAATCGCTTGTTTGATTATCAGGTCTTCCGCGCACCCTATCGTCTGGTCCGGCGATGTCAACAGATTCACCTTGCCTGTAGTCATTCCCAAGATACTCTCCACCGTCTTGAGCCAAGTCTGGTGGTTGGTTCCATCCACATTTAACTTTTTGACAAATTGAAGCATCTTCAGCATCGCTACTGGGTCATACTGTGTCGTCACCGTTTTGAGTTCTGTGGCATGTAGATTCTCGAGATCGGCCACATTTATCAAAAGTTCTTCTCCCGAAAACTGTTTCTCAATCTGGCCATCGTGGAAAGTAAAAAGTTTAATTTTTCGCGTCGAGTTCTTCGAGAAAGTGATGAACGTGGAAAGTTGCATGAGTTTATCAATAACATCCTGAATCGAAGCAGTCTTTGGCATCAAGAATAAATAATTTCCCTGTAGTAGATGGATTCAGAACAAGCCACGATGTATCAGCACAGAGCCAGAGAATGCAGGTGTTCCAGATGCATAGAAGCATCAAACAATATTGAACTTACGTCTTCTCGATTGTGAGCACCAGTCCATGTAATCTTCACCTTGCGGTTCGCTTCAACCTCATCGGCAGGCAAGTCCAACAGTTCGTAAAACAGAATGTTATTGATACAATCGTTATCCGACGACTCGATCATGTCAGCCACGGTCCCCCGTCGACGAATCACGTGGTGGGGATCGCCTTGTTCACTGTTAATAAATCGGAGCCTGGCAGGATTACGGTGTAGTCTTTTTCCCACTAGATGGGCCATTTGAGAATATGTAAGAGTTTTGCTCAAAGGGATGTCAAACTCGATCATCTTAGCCATGTTGGTATGACGGGGTTTGAATCGAACCAGAACCCGATTTGCCAAAAAATCGTAGAATGACACCGGATCAAGATACGCATGCTGTCTTCCAAGTTTCTCAAGTCTTGAATTCAAAAAATCCCATAGGGGGCCGAGGGTCATTAAGACACATTTAAACTGATATTATGAACAAGAATCTATGGTTTGGACTGACTCTTCATCGGAAAATTCAATTTCGAAGCAAATGATGTCACCATCCAGCATTTGAGCCTCCCCGAATGTAGTGTTGGGGTCCATCAAAACTATTCTGCCAGGTCTGCGTTCCTGTAAGATGATAAAGCAAGGTGAAAGCCCAACAGAATGAAGTTGGATAGATTCCTTAGATTCAACAGGGTTAAATACCACAAGCAAATCCAACGTGTAGACACGAACCTCGTACATCTTCAGACGACTCCCCTTGGGAAATTTCATGCGAGCATTAATAAGAGAGACCAAGTCTGCTACTCTTTGGCCCTCCTTAACCCAAAAGTGGCCGATTCCGGATAACGCCTGATCCGAGACATTAAAATACTTGACCATGATCATAACCTGCCTTTCCTCAGATTCAGCTGCCTCTGCTTCATGCTCGGGGTCGAGGATTTCCAGATACAGCTTGAGATCTTGAGTTGATGAGGCCATTGCTGTGTCACGTATAACCTCCATTGCTGGGGAAAAACAGTTAGCCCATGAGCGATTTTTGAGTTGTTAGAAGCTAGTAGATGATGATGACTGATCTGGACAATGTCTCGAGGCTTACTTAGCGCCTGATCATTTTCTGGCACAGCAGCGCGTGGCCGATCTACGGGCACCAATAATGGTCGAAGACGAATTCGCTCAGGTTGGTAGCCTAGGTCTCGTGCAAGTGTCGATTTGAAATCCAGGAAACGTTGCTTTTTAGCAACTCTGAATGTCGGAACATCAGAGGGAGGCATCGTTTTATCATCAAACAGCGCCAGATCAAAGCCTTGAAATACTCGGAAGGTTTCCTCTGTGACAATCTATACGAGTTACTCATCCGTGATTTCACATCAGACTTTGACCGCGTTTTCATGATGACTCTGCAAGCCTACCTTTGTGGTGAGGTAAAGATGCCTTTCTTCATCTTCCTTCTTCTTCTGTTCGTGGAGCCTCTGTTCCTGTTGCAGTAAAGATTCTAGACCAGTTGGAACAAAAGGGCATGAATAATTGAAGATGAAACATGGGATGCTGATCTGGTACTTACTCAAATGAGTAGGCGTGTCGGCCTGGGTAATCGTAGTCCGAATGGCCGCTTCTTTGGATTCTCTAATGTACACCAGCATATGGACATTTGTCGAACTTTTCAAAACTTCTCCAGCTGTGACAGGGATGACTCGGTCATCATCAAACTTATACCATTTTGATTGAGGGTGTGGTTGGATGAAGGCAAAGTATTTTATCTCTTGTGCTTCTCCTGAATGGACCAATACACCCTGTAAGCGATAGTTCCAGTTGGCTGTTTTGTCAGCTGACTCGTCTAAGTAAGGTGCAAGATCCAGCTTGGAGGGAAATTCAAGTGGATCATCGATCTTGGAATCGGAATTCGGATACAAGAATTAGTCATACAGATTCTCGAGTAATAGAGATAACACCACACACCTTGATCTGCTTGTCTTCCTGGAAATTATACTCAAATCGATTGAGATGGAGGTGAAGAACGGGGGGAAACTCTATGAAGACAGTCCCTTCGTTAGCATCTTGTAGACCATGGTCATCGCCAGCGTAGTGTTTTTTGTCGCCATCGATTTTCTGTGGCGCTACATAAGCTTTCAAAGACTCTTGTAGCGTTTTGAAGGGTCGTCCTTGAAAATCCTTGATATCCAGTTGAACGTCTGCGGTGCAGAAGGACAGAAAGGGATGTCTTAGGTTTTCTTTTCTTTTCTTTGATCACTTTTCAATCGAGCTGGACGAGTGGTCATGGTCAACAACGCACCCGAGAAATTTTCTTCTTGGCTACTTTCATGGTCCACGTTGATACATTTGATGTATCTTTTGCATTTTCCAACGAAAAGATATCGAAAGAAACCGTCCACAGAAGTGTTTTTCGTTCTGCTTTGCAATTCATGCTGAAGCATGCGCATGAATTCATGAACGACTTGTGACTGAGAGACATCCAACGGCTTCCACGCTATTAATGACTTCGTCAACTGGGCTATCCCAACAGCTTTATCGGATGTCTGCAATTCATAGAAGATGCGCTGAAGAGTTAAGGCTACTGAATCCGGACCATCGTGCTCGGTTGGAATTTGGTAGACAGCCTGTCGGAGCCCAACAATCGATTCAGGTAATGAGAAATCAATTTGAGAGAATCCAATGGGGCGGAAATGAGAGAGCATCTGACTCACTTTGCGAAGGTAAGTGTTTGAGAAGAGAAGCTGCAATAGAGGGTTCAGGTAGCCTGCACCTCCATGGTTTTTCAAAGAAACATAGCCTGTTTCTTTTTTCGAGTCGTAGCTGTTAAATAAAAATTTGTCCGTCAAGATGGACGCAAGTGGATAAAACAAAACCAAATCGAGTTGGGATAGTAGAACAGTTGAACTAACTTGACAAAATCATGCCATAGGAATCCCGTTTCGTCTTTAAACACTTGGACAAACGCAGTTACAACAGCCTCGTGATTTTCGATGATAGGCTTAACGCGTGAGTCGTCCGGGCCAAGGAGTTTATCCAGCTCAGCAAACTTTGAGAATCCCAAAATTTGAGTGGAGTCACTGAATCGTGCTTTGCCCCCTGATGAAAAGGTTAAATCACCACATTAGATCAACCGCCTCCCGGTAACAAAGGAGATACAATCAAAATTCGACAGGGGCTTACCATGCTGAAGGTAGCACGTTCCATCGTTCGGGTTGGAAATCGCAAAAATGAATTGGGCGCAAACATGCCAATTTTTGGCCAGTTGTTTTGGACCTTTGCAGTTCAAGTAAATTGAAACGTTGACTTCCTCTTCTTGGACACAATTTTGAGGACGACAAAGGATGTTCCTGTGAAAGCGTTCGTGTAAGCAACACCCACGTAAGAGCACACAGCGGACAAACTTGTCAAAAAACTCAAGATTACGAATACAAGCGAGTCATCATATTTTTGACATTGCAGCAACTAGTAAATTACACTGATATGGTCGCTTGAAACGGAAAAAAAGGACGTGGCGCGGATGCCTACCATTCATGACCACCGGCAGTAAACGTATCGCTTTCTACACCGAACAGTCTCAGAGTCAGTGTTTTCTCAAAGCCAGAGATTTTCCAGCTGTGTTTTTTGAGATCTTCTACAGGGATTCCGTAATTGAGCAAGTACTTGTGTGCGAAAGCATTGGCTGCGGTCGTTCAAGTTAAAGAATCGATCAACAGAGATAAATATGTGGGTACGTGTGTTGTTGAATATTAGGAATCACAAACTATCATCAACCGAGACAGTCTGTATGTTGCAGTTTGATTAATCAGTATGTCAACACTTCGAATATTTTGGTGGCAGAGGAAAAGTAGCATAAGAGGACGTACCATGAAGAAGATATTTTGTTGGGCGATCCCGAAGGAAACCAGGAGAGCGTCGACACGGCCAAATCGGTCACGAACCACGATCAGTTATTGATGTGTTGTAGCAATTCGAGATCGATGAAGTGGGGATGTTGTGTGTGGAATCGTTTGTTCAGGAAGATTGGCATGTAGGACAAACCGCGGTTGTCGTCCTGGTGAACTTCGTCTTTTTCCCCTTTGAAGCCAAGGCCGCGTCTCGATAACGGCGCGGCACGGCGGGACAGGGTCTCGCCTCGGCTGGGATCCGGCCCTGCAGCTGTCCTCCCGGACCGGATGATATCCTGACTTGGGAGGCAACAAGCACCCATGCCCACACCACATGATGATGCAGGTACACCATCCTCGTCGATAGGCTGCACATAAAAAAACCTTGTCCAGCATTTCTGAATGATCCTGAATATTCTGATTCTGGAACCATTTTTTTTTCATGAATCCTCTTCCTTCCTTCTTTCTTTCTTCTCCTTTCGTTACCCCTCTTCCTTCTTCTGATTCTCTTCTGTTTTTTCTTCTTCTTGGTTCACTTTTCTTGAAGTCTCCTTTTTTATTCAAGGTGTTCACGTGTATAGAACAAATAGGCACAGTGGGTCTTTATAAGGAACCACAAGTGTTAGTGTTAGAACACTACACAAGAAGAATTTGATGAAACAACTGCAAGCACACCTGTTGTGTGAGATTGAGTTGTAACAGAAAGAAGAGAAAGCTGAATGAAGAAAAGAAAAATAGGAACCAATACATATGTAACTATTTAACTAACAAACCTTTAGGTTTCATGAAGAAATTATGACTGATGAGAGGCAGAAATTTTGAAGAGAAACTTTGGGAAACAAAATGATTTTGTTGGACTGGCTCAATGGGTGGAAAAAGGAAGGAAAGAACCAATGAATTTAATTATCATGTGTAATTAGTTTGGTAGGTAGACTACATACATGACAATCAAAATGTGGTTTGAATAATGAATATGCAGAATGCCACAATCACAATAATGAGAAAAAGAAGAAGATATTTCAGAGTCATGAGTTGAAGAAAAAGAACTACTACTTTGGGTTTGTAGACTACAAAAGTGTGATCAGTCAACAAAAAACATGCTACAATATTATAATCTAGTCTCATAGAAAGTGATTAGAAAGAAAAAGAAAGACAGTTCAAAAAGTTATTTTAGGGATGAGTGGAAAAGACAGTGAAATTCCAACATTTCACAACTAGGGAAAAGACAATAAAATCCAAAGAGAATATCAACCTACCACAATGAGAGTTGTTCTTTGACTTAGACAGAATAGAAAGGCTAAAGTAGATAATATCAAACAGGAAAAAGGAGTAGACACTAGGTAGTTGAATAAGAAAGCCAGAAAGCAACGAGAACAAGAGGTCAATATGAGAGCTTTTTAGGAAGAGGAGTCTGTACGGTCAGTTTCTCACCAAATTGGCAGAAGCCAAGTGAGGAGATCAAGAGAGAGAGTCGGTGTGAGAAGAATCCTTGATGGTTGAATTGAGGATGAGAGCATTTTTAATTGGTGTTGATGTGAGTGAGTGAGGAGCAAGATGATGGACAGTAGAAAGAGAAAGAGGAAGAAGAAAAAGCGGAGTCGTATGGCAAAGTAGAAGGGAATGATGTTGATTGTTGGGGTGTGAGAGAAGAGTCTGAGCAGTGGAGGACTATGGTGATGGGAAAGTAGTTGAGTGTTGTAAGAGATAAGCTGCTGGGGGAAAAAGGATGTCTGAGTGCGGAAGAACAGCCGTCTTTTATATTCTTTGATTGGGTGTTTGAGGTGTGGTTGCTGCAGAATGAAGACTGGGACCATTTGCAGATAGAATCAGGTCAATGAGGGTCAAAAGGGTTGAGTGATGGTTAGAAGAGTTGAGAAGATGAGAAGATGAGAGAATGAGAAAAGGAGAGAAACATTGGAGCAAGAAAAGAGAAAAGAGAGCATGACAATAGCACGGGGAGCGTAGAGAGCGGAGATCTGAGAGCGCAGGAAAAATTCCAACACACTCCCCTGCAAATTGCCATGCGGGGACACATGCCAATTGTTGCAGGGTAGTCTAGTGCCAACCTGCACTCCCCTCAGACAACAGTGGGCCAATAGCAATGCCTGTATTGGTAACAGATGATTTGTTACTTTCCACGCTGGTGGGTGTATCAACTCTGTGGGTGGTGTGGTAAGACCAATCAAGGTCATACATAGTACAAATAGCTGTTTATAGTAGTTTCCATGATATTACAAACAGATATACATATGCTACATAACCCTTCATCTTGTATCCAGTCCAGAACATTATAAAATAGTAGGTTTTACACTCATTTGACTACATAATATATGGTACTGCATAGCTACAACATACTACATATCACACATCTCAAGACACAAATCAATCATTCCACAGTTCTTTACTTCTATGATAATATTCTTTGAGTATGATGAAATTTCAACTGAGAGCTGAGAGAAGGGGGGAAGCAACCGGAAAGAAGAACTCCAAAGGGAGAAACAAACAAGGTCGAGGAACCCTATTTGAGGGTTAAGCTGCTAGCTTGTGAGACGGAAAAGCAAACTCACTACAAGAGACTGTATTAGTGGTCTCAGGGAACTGGCGCAGAGAACAGATGATTTTCATATTCTAACTCATAGTATGGCTGATTTATCTACATACAAATTTTGCTTGAGTTGTGGGACAGAAGGTGAAAAGGATGCATATTCATCTGGAAGGGAAAGGAGTGACATAGGTGTGAAAGGGAGGAAAGAAGGAGAAATGAGAGAGAGACGACAGAATTCCAACAGAGTAAACACCACTTATTTCACCTCAGATATAACTTAGTTCAGACTACATATGGTCTATCAAGCCCGTCTGGGCACAGGCCAAAGTTTGGCCAGAATCAGGCCAAGCGCGCTTGGCCAATCCCAAAGCATGCTTGGCCAATCCTAAAGCTCGTGTGGCACCCTCCCAACCCCCGCTTAGCACATGCCAAAGTTGGCGGGGTTCAGAGCAAAGCCTCTCTTGGCCAATATCAAGCAAGGGTGCCATGCCCGCCAACATGCCGCCCCCAAGAAGGCCAGCTGCTGAGTTGGGGCCCAGTGCTGTGCTGGTGCACATGAGCTACCAATTTGCCCAGCGGGACTTGGCTATGTGCCAAGTCCTGCCCCCCGTCTATCCTGTCTGATCAAGCCCTATCAGCCTTAGAGATACTCCATAGTATCAAAAAGACTGCTAAAATAATATTAAATAACTCAATATGTAATATAATATGTAAAAATATTATTTAATAAACCAATATTTCATAAGATTATAAAGGGGGTTGCCCACTGGAAGTATCCCCAAATTCCTACTCCTTCAAGGACTTTTTGTATAGAGATGGTCAAAGGGTATCCATTGTGGATACCCGCTATCCCCTGGCGGATACCCACCAGGGGGTGTGGGACTTGGCTGCCCCACGGATACCCGAGGCCAATGGCCGGCTGGAAGGTTTTCCTTCCAGCCGGCAAGGTCCTTCCAGTTGGAGAGGATGTACCTCACCGGCTGAAAGGGCTTCCTTTCATTCGGTGAGGTACGTGCTTGCCGGCTGGAAGTCCGTTCCAGTCAACGAGGCATGTGCCTTGCCGACTGGAAGGGCTTCCTTCCAGCAGGCAAGGTACATGCTCGACGGCTGGAAGGCCCTTCCAGTCGGCAAGAATGTACAATCTCCTCCCAGATGTTTATGTCTGGGGGTCAACTGTCACAAGTTGACTTGCACCCGCGCACTAAACTGCAGTGCAGGGGTGCGGGTCAACCTCTTCATCGGCCAACGACTCATCAGAGAACAACCTTGCTCATTGACAATTGATCTTGGAAAAGTTTGATTGACCTCGGAACAAACTCGGTTGACCTAGGGACAAATTCGTTACACGCAAATCAGACATCAGTCTGTATTTCTATTGTTTTTTTTCTTTTTCTGATTTTTTGCTTCTTTTCTTCACATGTGGAACAGGAACGATTTGATGGGACATATCTGAGGACAGCCCAGCCTCACGACCAAGCAGAAGGCTCGCATTGCCGGGATGTCTCATGGGCGAGTCGCTAGGGTTGTGGGCTCCGGACAAACGACAGTCTCTGTGATTGTTTCACAGGCTCGGACTCTTGGGACTGCCAAAACAGCTGAAAAGAGGGGCTGGCCTTGATTGAATAGCAGAATATGTCTGGTTGTGGAGGCCTCTGGTGGGCCAATCAAATATTGATTTTTTTATTTTTATTTTTTTATTTTTATTTTTTTTATTTCATAATCATTATCTCCCACCTCTCAGCTACCCTCCCCACTTGATTTTGTATTTTTAAAAAAATTATTAAAGAAAATAAAAAAAGTGTTGAATTTTTTAGCTTTTGACCGGTTGAAGTTGAGGAATTTGAGAAGGGGGCACAAAGAAGGCAGGAGCCCTTTTTTGGGAAAGGTTCACGGTGAAAGAATGAAAAGAACCGATGATTTTCATTCACAGGTAAATAGCCAGATTAAATAGACTAAGTACATGTGGTTAACCTGTGGTTGGGGCAAATTGAATAAAAAAGGAATGTTGAATAAAAACTAAGAGACAGAACAATTTGAAGTCTTGGAAGAAACAATCTTAGCCGGACTTCTCAGTCTCTTTTAGTCAGACAAGAAAAAGTTAATCAAGAAAAATCAAGAATTCTATCACAAATATTCAGAGGCGTTAATTCCAAATAATTAGCTTTTAATGAATCAAATAATGAAAATAGAAAAAGAAAGAAGTCACTCAATAAGACAGGAGTTGTTGAGAAATTGCTATTGTGAGTTCTAATTAGACTACTAAGATGCATAAGATTCAACAAAAAACCAGCCATGGAGAACTATAGTTCAGTCTATTTCAGGAAGATTCAAGAAAGAAAATAGGTAGAAAAAGTGAAGGAAAGAGGGACTGATTTTGGGGAAGAGTAGGAAGAAGAGGTGAAAACTCAACAAAAAGTTGAATGATGCTTTTATTTTTTTAAAATGCAATGAATTTTGCTTTTTCTTTTTTTTGTTTCATATTCCTTTTTATTGTCCCCCTATCCACCACTCCACAAAAACTCAGTATTTCACATGCGACAGTTTTTTTTTTAAATGGAGTTATTGATGTGTCATAAACATCTGGGAGGATACTGTACCTTGCCAACTGTAAGGAAACCCTTCCAGCCAGTGCCTTGCCGGCCCTTTAAAGGGTGGGTATCCAAGGATACCTGCTCGGATACCCGCTAAGGCAGGGGGATACCCGCCAGCGGCTGCGGATTTGGGTGTGGATGGGGAAAAATCCGCGCGGATATCCGGATGCGCCGGGGCCATCTCTATTTTTGTATATATCCAAAACCTTGAAGGACAAA